AAAACATTCATACACGAAAAGTAAAAATTCAAGCAAACAAGCCAAGGAAAGGTCTGCCACTAGGGAAGCTTGGTTTTTATTTGTTTGCTGGATCTACCAGTTCAGAGGGAGGCTGTAGGAGCAGCAAGTACTCCTAACCATCTCTCCCAGCCCCCATAATTTTCTTTTAATGTAGCTTTTGGATAGGCAATAAACACATGGGATTCAACAACCAAAATTATATAGTAACAAATTCTGGAGTTAGAGAGATGGCTCAGTGGTTAAAATCACTGACTGCTCTTCTAGAGGACCAGGGTTCAATTCCCAGCACCCACATGGCAGCTCACAATTGTCTGTAAACCCAGTTCCAGGGGACCCAAAACCCATGGCAAAACACTAATGCACATAAAATGAAATTAAAAAAAGAAATTCATCGGGAAGTTTCTCTCTCACCCTCTGGTTTCCTCAGCACCCACAGGCTACCACTGTTACTATTTCCTCTGTGCAAATTCAAATAAATGTCAATATTTATCCTCACTCATACCTCACCTCTTAGATGAAAGATAATATAGTGCAGGTAATTTTCTTCCTTTTCTCCTTCTTCCCTCTTCCTCCTCTTCTCTTCTTTGAGGCTGGGCCCTCCGACAAAAGCCATTGATCAAGAAAATAGCACACTGACTTGCCTACAGGCCAATCTGATGGAGGCATTTTCTTAGCTGAGGTCCCTTTTCTCAAGTGACTCTAACTTGTGTCAAATCGACAAAAAACTAATGCACGGGGATAGAGAAGATATAGTCCCTGCCTTGGAGAAATCTACAGTGAAAGAAGTAGATCCTGTGACTTCCAGAGAGGCTTCACCTAAAGTCAGAACACTCGCTATTGGGTGGTATTTGTGAAGGTATGGGCATCCTCATTGTATTAGTTACTTTTCTATTGCTGTGATAAAACTCCATGACCAAGGCAACATACAAAACAAAGGGGCCTGCAGTTTCAGAGGTGGGGAGCATAGGAGTGGGCAGGCAGGTGCGGTGCTAGACCAGCTGCTGAACCCCCATCCAGACCCATAGACAGGAAGCAGAGAGGACTCCGGGGACAGCTGGAGGCTTCTGGATTCTCGAAACCCACACAAAGTGACAGTCCTCCTCTAACAGGGCCACACCGCCTAATCGTTGCCAAACAGTTCCAGCAGCTGAGGACCAGGGATGTAAACACAGGAGCCTGTGGGACATTCTCATTCAAGTCACCACACTCATCCATTGCTGCTGCTGTAAAGCTGGTCCAACTTTTTTGGGGGCAAGTCAATGAATATTTATTAAAAACTTTAAAGCCCAGGTGGGACACAGGTGGCATATATCTGTAACCCCAGCACTTGGGAAGCTGAGTAGAGAGTCCAAGGACAGTCTTGGAGGGAAGGAAGGAGGGAGGGAAGAGGGAGAACGAGGAGAGGGAGGGACAGAGATCTCAATATTTAAACAAGAACAACAAAGGGACTGATATAACCTGAATATTCATCAGGAGGGGAGTAATGGGACGAGTTGCACAAGCAGGTATAGAAAGTAGGAGTAAGGTGTTGGATACTGTAGAATGTCAAACACACACTGTTCATAAACATTCAGACATCTCTGCAAGGATATAGTCATCAGTACTGTTCCTTTCTTCCTTCATTTTAAGTAGCCCAAGCTGGCATCCAACTCACCAAACAGCTGATGTCCGATCTGAACACCAGATCTTCAGTGCCTTCCACTCCCTAGTTCTGTAATTATAGGCTTGTGAATGTGTATGCAAGTTGTACACTCATGTGTGTATATGTGGAGGCCAGAGGTCAATGTCCAGTACCTCTCTCCACCTTATTTTAATTTTATTAATTATTATTTGTTATTATCATTATTTTCTTCAAGACAGTGTTGGTTTCTCTGGGTAGCCCTGGCTGTCCTGGAATTTGCTCTGTAGACCAGGCTGCCTCTGCCTCCCGAGTGCTGGGATTAATGGCACACATGATCATACCCAGCTATTAATCGTTATTGTATGTGTGCCGCGGAGTATATGGTGGTCAGAGAACAATTTTATGGAATAGGTTCTCTTAATGCTGTTATGTGAGTATCGGAGATCAAACTCAGGTCAGATTTATGTAGCAAGTACCTTTACTTGCTGAGTCATCTTTCTGGGCCTCCACCTTATTACGTAAAAAGAAAGAAAAACAACTATTTCATGTATTTGGTGTTTTGTCCGCATGAATGTGTGTGCACCATGTGCAAGCCGTGCCAGCAGGCCAGAAGAGGGTGTCAGGATTCTTGGAACTGGAGCTACAAATGTTTGCTAGACACCATGTGGGTGTTGGCAATCGAACCCAGGTCCTTTAGAAAAGCAACGGGTGCTCCTTTTGCAGGGAGGGGGGTGTAGTGGTGATGGTAGTGTCAAGACAATATCTCACCATGTAGCCTTGGTTAGGCTGGAGGTCACTGTGTGAACCAGGCTGGCCTTGAACTCACAGAGATCCACCTGCCTCTGCCTCTTGAGTGCTGAGATTCAAGGAATGCACAACTATGCCCAGCTCCCTTTTTCATTGATAAGATAGGTAGGGGTTTGCTAGATACCCAGCTTTTCTTTCTTTTTACCAGAAGAGGGCACTATATTTCATTATAGATGGTTGTGAGCCACCATGAGGTTGCTGGGAATTGAACCCAGGACCTCTACAAAAGCAGCCAGTGCTCTTAACCTCTGAGCCATCCCTCCAGCCCTATAGTTGTTCTTAATTGAACTCACTATCCTCCTGCCTCAGCAATCAGAATGCTGGGATTACAGGCTTGCTTCATCATGCTTGCTCACCAGGCTCTCCTTTTCCTTTCTTTCTTCTCTTAACTTGAACCCAGGGCTCTGCATGCCTCCACTTTGCCCTCTAACACGGAGCCACATCTCCATAGCTTACCTTTTCCTTTAAAGAGACACTTACTGACTATTTGTGGATATAAGCTCAGTCACCTGAGTCGTGAGTGTCCCCAGTGGCTGCATACTCCTTCCACTAGAGATGACAAAGTAACAATAATCTGGAAATGTCATCCTGGCTGTGACCATCCATCACAACTTCACTCTGTCTTGGCTGTCATACCACCTGCTCACAGAAGGGGGCAACACAGACTTACGGAAACATTGTTCCCACACTTGACAACCAAGCCTTCCTGGTAAAATTTTCTCCATTGTGGTCCATGATTTGGGAAGGTGCTTCCTGCCAAGCCACTAAATGTGATAGGTAGTGATTGATTGATCTCTTTGGTAACTCACGTTTCTGGTCAGCAGGAGAGATAATGTAGGCTTACTGACACGGTAATTTTCCACACAATAGGCCCTTTTTAGTTTAGCTTTATTTCCACCAGGTTTTGGGTGGGAGGTGGTTGGCAATGAGGACACAGGCTGGCAATTACTGCATCAGAGGCCCAATTTTTCATGTCCCTCAAAGTAGTAGTGATGGGCAAGAGGAAGCATGGGCACTGATCCCACAGGCACTTCAACTCAATCTGTTCTTTACAGGCTGAGAACAGTCCAAGGTTAGGGACTCCTTACCAGTCCCAAAGCCCCAGCACTAAGCAGACAGCTGGGCATACAGCTGGGGCAAAGAAAACATTTGTTGATGAATTGAAAGAGACAGCTATGGAAGAATCAGGAAGCAAAGCCTTTAATAAATAAACAAAAAGATCTCCCAGCCACTTATTACAGGCAAGGCCCAAGGGCAAGCAAGGCTAGGGAAGGTGGCAGAGGGCACAGGGCAGATCACCTTCCCAGCAGGCTCAAGGAGCCCCCTTTTCACCTACCCTGGAAGTCCCTGCTCAGGACAAGCAATAGGGACTGCATCTCTCCCATACCAGGGATGCTGGCGACCTTGACAGGAGAGGCTTAAATCAGGTCGGTCTGGGGGAAGGGGCTGGTTCCTGTCTGTTTTTCCTCATGATTAGATAATTAATTTCCTGGGTTCCTGCTGAAACCCTTGTCAATGGCTCTGAGTATGAGGATGAGAGCCGGGAATGATCCAGAGTGACCACTTAGGGCCCTTGATCTGGTACAGAGAAGGTCCCAGGCTCACTCAATGTAAGACACCCCATCATCCCATGGCCTGGCAATACAGGGAGGAGCCAACTTGAGAGCCTCACAAAGTAAGTGGGGAACTAGAGGAGCCAATTCAGGCTTGAGTTTGAGCTCCAGCCCTGAAGGTGTTCCCCTCTTCACTCTCCCACCCCAGATAACAGGAATGAGAGGCCATGGCAGTGTAGATCTTGGACATGGGGCAGAAGAGGCCTGTTTCTGCACTTATCAGCTGTGCGGCCTCAGTCAGTCCCTTAACTTCTTTGTTCCTCATTTCCCCATCACTGAAACGAGGACATCCGTACCTACCTTTGCTGATCACTGTCACAGAAATCTTTTTGTAACTATCGGATATCCAAGGTTCTTAATCTTCAGGTCGAGAGGCCAGTGTAGGTCCCTGATGATAACAGAGTCAAGATTTTCCTCCCCTCCACGGTACATGGTGCATGTTCCTTCCCCAGTCTAGGAGCTGGCCTTAACCCTTCTTAATGCCCTGCTTCTCTTTGGTACCACCACAGCGGTCCCCAGGTTCTCCAACCTTCTTTTCCCACGGATGCCCCCAGTCTAAAGCCACGGAGGACACTGGCATAGTTGCAGCTGGTCAGGTCTCATTGACCTAGGTCCGTGTCCTCCAACCTGTTTGCAGATGGTTCCCTCTGGTCCTCAGCTCATCTCTGGGCTCAGCGGAAGAGAGACACAGAGGTGGGGGGCCTGGAAGGGGGTTCCCACCTCCTTAGTTGGGGACCCCAGAGGGGGACCCCCGCAGCCCTTATGCCCCACCACCGCAGCGCCGCCTTAGGTCTCCAAGGCGTGCGTGATTGGCTGGACATTCTTCCGGCCGGGGGTCGGCCTCCTCCAGGCTCAGGCCCGGAGACCCCCACGGCCCGGCTCTGGGCTGGCGGAGAGCTGCGGTTCTAGGACCCGGAGGCGCCTGGCGAGCACGCCGCCGTGTCTCGGCCTCGCCAGGGTCGGCTGGGATTCGGGCAGGTGCATCGGCGGCCGTCCCCTCCGCCGCAGGTGCAGCGCTCTGCAGCCCCCGGCCGGCGTGCCATGGCTGCGGAGGACCCCCGGCCAGCGCCCGCGCCCGCCCCCTCCCTGCAGCCCGCCCCCCTGGGGCCGGGTGCGCGGCGGAGAACTGCGGTTTGCGCGCACCGGGAGCGGCAGCAGAAGTTCGAAAATCGCCGAGGGGGGAGCCCGCGCCGCAGCTTCCTGCCCCCGGCCCAGCCCTCTGGCCCCGGCCGCCTGCAGCCCGACTTCCTCCCCGAGCCTCGCTCGCCGCCCGCTCCCTCGGACGGGGCTGCCGCGATGGGACGCCGCACCCCAGTCCCTGCGCGCTGCTGAGCCCAGAGACGCAGCCCAACCCTGTCACCTGCCACTGCCCTTCGCCCCCGGCTCCGGGAGCCTAGTCCGCGACCCCTTGGGAAAACTGGATCTCCGAGGCTGGAGGCGCCTGGCCGGCTGGGTGGGGACCACCATGGGCAACGCGGCCGGCAGCGCCGAGCAACCCGCGGGCCCCACCGCGTCGCCCCCGAAGCAGCCAGCCGCCCCCAAGCAACCGATGCCGGCGGCCGGGGAGCTGGAGGAGAGGTTCACGCGGGTCTTGGTGAGTGTGACCCGATGCGCACCAGGAGCCTGGATGACAGGGGCTCGCTCAGTACTCGTCCCCGCCTCTTGGGACTCAGGTGCCGCTTGGAGATCCCTGGCCCACCTGCCGCTCCTCGGGGGGTTGGGGGTGGTGGGAGTGACAGTGTCATCTTTCAGAGTGACTTACCACTCTCCCCCCAAAAACTTTCTTCAGCCACCTCCAGTAAGCCTTCTTAGGGGAACCCCACCCCCATGCTCCTAGGTCTAAAGGTGTCAAAAATGTCCTGTGAGGTTGGGTTCCCAGCGAACACGCTCAGGGTGGGAGGAGGCTGGCACCCCCTTATTCACTGCACACAGGCCCAGCTGTTGGGTGCGGGTCTGGACTGCCCGCCCTTCTGCCTCTCAGGGTCAAAGATGGAAGGGGTTATAATTTAACCTCCTGGAAGCCGTAGCCCTAGTGGAGTGTTTGGTCCTGGTTTGCTCTGATGTGTCTGGCCTAGGAGTTGGACTCAGCTCCTGTTTCTTATTACCTACCCCCCCCCCACTTTCCCCGGAGTGGGTGCTTGCATCCATCGTGGTCACCCCCTCCTAACCACTGTAAGGAGTAACATTAGGAAGGGCGGGGTCAGGGTGGGTTGGTCATTCTGGTGGAACCTGGGGCAGGGGAGGGGAGAGTGGGGTGGGAGGAAGGAGGAGCTGAAATCTAGGCCCCTGTGGGAGCGAGCCATCAACTCGGGCTCAGCCCGGAGCAGTTAAAAGTATTTCTGGCGGGGTGGGCACTCCAGTGCAGTGGGAGATCCCTCGGAAGGGTGGGAGGCAGAAGACGGGTAGGGAAGGGAGAGGCCCCTCTTTTCACTTCCCCTCTTCATCCCAGCACTCCTTTGTTGGTAGTTGCCCAGTGGCCTGTCTACTGTTAGCCATCCCTTGCTGGACACCCGGTGACAGGGAGCAAGGCTGGGCTGTTTCCTGGAGGCAACCTCTCAGTCTCAGTAGGCTGGTGTTGCAGGTCTGAGGGTGGGGAGCCCAGGAGAGGTTCACCCCGGAAGCCAAGAAGTGCTAGCCTCATGTCCCCTACACCGCCTAGACATCAGCGTTTCCCTTCTCTGGCTAGCCAGTCATCAGGCCTGACTTCCCAGATCCTTTGCATGGTCCCAAAGGGGCACCTCCCAACAGTTCCTGAGAATCCTGGCTCCTGTCCCCTCCAAAAGAAGGACAGGAGGAGGCTGGGGATCTCTGAGATGGGGTGGGGCCTGTCCTTGTGAAGTCAAGGGCTCTGAGGAACATCTCAGACCAGGCTAGCCTTGGACTTCCTTATGTCTCCACCTGCCTCTAACTCCCTCTTCCCCAAATCCAGACCTTGACCGAGTTCAGCTGAGCCGAGCAAGTGGGGGATGGGGGGCATCTAAGGAGTCAGTGATGAGTTCAGCCTGACGGGGGGGGGGGGTAGGGGGTGTGTGGGGGGTGGGGGTGGCATGGGTCATCCCTCCCTTTATGTGTGTCTATGGATAGGGGTAGGTCTGGGCGCTGTCTGTTCAGTCATATACACTAATGGGGAGGAACCTTCTGAATAATTCAGACCAGTGGAGATTCCAAAAGTCAAGTGGAGAAGTTCTCCAGCAAGGGTGGGACCTGATTGCACTGCCTGGACTTGTGGCTATAGCAATGAGGGACCATGGAAAGCAGCTGGACGCCTCTGAGTGCCGGGCCGTGGAGAGTCTACCAGAGATGGATCTTCCCGAGTGTCTTGGTGGCTTAGCCTAGGGCCCTAGCACCCACAGGGGTACCCATGCCTTTCAGGTCCCCTGGTACCCAGTGTGTCCCTTCTCCTTGGGGGGGGGGTAAACCCATCCTCACATTACATGGTTTAGAACTGGATTTTCTAGTTCCCTCACCATCAGGGTCATGAGCCCCACCTGGATTAACAGCCTTGCCCTCTGCCTGAGGCTTCCCAGAGCTGAAGGTTTGGTGAACCCAGGAGTCTTACAGTGGGTGTGGCTCCATCTGACCCCTACCCCTGGGGCCTCGAAAAGAACCTGAAGTCTTTATTGCTGGGGCCCACCCTAGGACCCCCAGTGTTGATAGGGGAAGTGAGTTCCCCAGTCACATGGCCCCAGGGACCCTGGTCCTTTCAGCTTAGCCCCTTCTTCCCCCGTAGGAAGCTGGGGGCTTCCCAGCTCCCCAAACCCTCTTCTTCTCTTAGCCATGGCCCTCTTTTTATGGGTTTGGGGGTGCTTCGGTCAGCCAGGCAAGGAGATCAAAGAGATGTCTTCCCACTAAGGATGAGGGCTATGAGGGGTGCCCTGCTTAAAATGGGGTTGAGGAGAAAGAGCAGGTTGAGCCAGGGTTTTTGGTAGCTGCCTTAGCAACCGCAGAGGAGGGATGGCTGCCCCACTACACAGGCCTGCTGTGGTGCTGGGAGCACCAGGCTTTGAGCTCTCGCCTCTCCTACACCCATGCCCAAGGCTGGGCATCTTCCAGCACTTCCCTGCCTTCTCTGAGAGCCATGCAGAGTGAGGGGTTGGCATGGCAAATCACCCTGTCCAGGACTGCTAGGAGTGCTATGTATGTGGCTGGCCCCTGTGATCTGCCTGTGGACCTGGGGTAGAGGAGTAAGGGAAAGTGCCTGGGGATGTCTGTGGGAAGCTGAGTGATACTATATCCAGGCAGAGACAGTTTGCTAGGCAGGGGTCTTAGCTTCCCGAGTGACTCTTGTACCCAGGACATAGACACTTTCTTAGGTGGTATGGGACAGTCATGACACCTCCAAGTGGAATACAGGTCCTTGGTGCTCTACCTCCTGCGTACGGGGCTGGTGGTGAAGAGCAGGTTGGATATCTCTACTTTGCTGGTCAGTGACAGGTGTCATTTGGTCCCTGCGCCTCCCACTTCTGGACTGCCCACAGTGGATCTCATTGGGGTGTGGCCTTGTGGCTAGATGGGTTGGGCAAAGGCCATAGCTGACATTTCCAGCAGGCATGGCCATAGTGGACATGATTCACAATGGCATCTGGGGTCAGTTGACAAAGTTCTGGGTGAGATGAGTAGGAGCAGATGGGTTTGCCCTTGGGGCCACCTTTGCATTTTCTTGGGAATCCACAATTCTGGCTTGGCTCTCCTTGCTTTTGAAGGGGCTGGGTTGGGGATCCCGCAGTTTGGAGGATGAGTTTCATCTTTGTTGCTTTTTTTGTGAGTGACCTTGGGAAAATTCACTTTTCTTTCTGAACTCCAGTTTTTCTTACGTGTGAAAGAGGATAATAGGTATATGGCGACCTCCTAGGATTGCTGAGGTAAAAGATTAAGTGGTGGGCTCAGTACAGAGTTTGCCCTCAGGGAGCAAACATCAGTAAATATTCCCTACAGTGAGAAGCTCTGGGCTTCTCCATCCCCAGGCCCTCTACCCCTGCCCCCACCAGGAACGTCCCAGGTTGCCATGCATTATTGAGTCACTCGCAGGCCTCCAGTTATCACCGGCCTCCTTGTCATTGCACAGGTTAGAAGCAATGAGGCCTAGACTGAAAACTGCCTAGTGGCCGGAAACCACGAGAGGGAGGGCCCGTCTCTCCTGCAGGGTGGAGTAGCATGGTGGTGGCAGCGGTGTGCACGAGAAGGGGGTGGGAGGCCTCTACTTCCCTACATGGACAGGGTGCTGGGGGGGGGGGTTCCCCCAGTGAGTAAGAACTCAGTGTGGGCAACAACAGGAAGTGGAGGGTGCTGGGTGGCAGGAAGCTACTGTGGCTGTTCCTGGTTTCTCGGGGGATTGGGGCTAGGGTTGTCTGCAGCCAGGACCCCAGTGCCCCCTACTTTAGGGGGAACCAAACAAACTATGTTTTTGTTCGTTTGTTTTGTTTTTGTTTTGTTTGTTTGTTTGAGACAGGCTTTTCTCTCTGTAGTGTTGGGGCCTGTCCTGGAACTCATTCTGTAGACCAGGCTGGCCTCGAACTCACAGAGATCTGCCTGCCTCTGCCTTCCAGGAGTGTTGGGATTAAATGCGCGCACCACCACTGCCCAGCCAAACCTTGAATTTTTAAACCACATTGTTACCTGGGTCTCCTTGGGTAAATGACTTACTATCTATGTGCCTCAGTTTTCTATCTGGGAAATGGGGTTATTGTTGTAACCGGTTTGTTTATTGATGTTTAAGTGAGTAGATAATAGATCCATAATACTTGGAAGGGAACTGAGGCCTGAGAAGTGTTTAGGGGTATTTATTATTATTGTTGTTATTCTCATGTTAGCCTGGATTATATGGGTGGCAAGATCTGGTGTCCTGGTTCTCACTTACCTTTGTCCTTGGAGAAACTGGTAACTTTTGGGGTTCTCGGCTCCTGATGCAAGGTGGGTTACGGCATAGTTTCCTCTAAGCCTGGGACTGCTTGTAAGAGCTCCTGCAAGTCTGTATCCGGGATTTTTAAGTGATGGATGCAACTGATTGTTTCTGCATGTGTGCCGACAGCTTGAATGCCAAGGTTGAGACCTGGGAGGGGGTAGAGTGGTGCAGAGGCCTGGAGGCAGCCTTGGCATTTGGACCTGTCATGCCGAGCTCTGGGGCTACTTGATACTGGGATTGGGGGTCCACTCTCAGGAGCTCCCTGGACCTCAAGGGGCTTGACTGTGAGGAAGGGGTGGGGTAGTGGGATGGAGCCTAGATTCTGTGCAGATTGAAAGTGAAATTGGAGGGTGTGGCAGTGTCCAGATGTGTCCTGAGTCCTCAGTCTCCTGGGACAGTGTCTTAAAAGTCAACAAGGCAGGCAGTGCCAGGAGCGCTGCTCATGTGAGCCTGCGGGGGGCTGGGCGGGGACGGACTGAAGCTGGGGTCCGTCTCTGCGGGGGCTGGGCGGGGACAGACTGAAGCTGGGGTTCGGAGTCTCTGGAGTCTCGGCAGGGAGAGAAGGTTGTCCTCATGCAGTCTAATAGGAATCGGAATGAAATCAGTTCCATTTATTTATTGTTACTATTATTGTTTTTGTTTTTCCAGGCAGGGTTTCTCTGTGTAGCTCTGGCTGTCCTGGAGAATCACTCTGTAGACCAAGCTGACCTCAAATTTACAGAGATTCACCTGCCTCTGCCTCCCAAAGTGCTGGGATTAAAGGTGTGCGCCACCACCGCCTGGCTCTTATTATTTATTTTTAGATATTCTCTCACAGTCTAGTCCAGTCTGACCCCAGACTTGGAGTAGCTTCCTGTCTCTGCCTCCAGAGTGTTAGGATTATAATAGGCCTGTGCCAAATGGCAAGTATCAGCTCCTTTGCTTGGCCACACCCCATCCAATTAACCCCATCTGCTTCCTCAGCTGGCCTGGAGCGATAGGACACTAGGAAAAGGCCAGTGCAGGTTTGGTCAAACTTCGGAGCCAGCTTTGGGCAGTCCCGATGTTTTTACATCTCTGCTCACTTACTGTCCCCGCACGACCTTGACATCTTCTGTGGACCCCTCCTGTCTCCTGTGCCTCACATTTATGAGATGCCTTTTCCTGGTGGTGGGGCACCAGAGAATATTATTATATTCTGAATATTGCCAGGCACTCTGGGAGTGGGCCAGCCTGTGCCCATTCTATGGAGGAGGAATCTGAGGCTGACCAGCTCATACATAAGTGGTCAGATAAGTGGGCCCAGAGCCCACCTAGGTGGGTCTTTTGAACTTAGCTTCAGTACCTCTGCATTAGTTACCCTCTTCCATGCTCCCAGGAGGCCCCACTCATACATGGGGCATATACCTGCCCCTTCCTGTCCTATTTGAACAACGTCAGCCAGCCTATTGTTTATCCCCCAGCGCCTGCTCACTGTGCTATGCCCTTGCTGAATTCAGGCCCTGGTGTGGGGCTTGGCTCCTGATTTGAGGGTGGCCCTACCTCACCCTGAGTGAGTGGCATTTGCTGGCCTGTCTCCTGCTCCCTGGATACCCGGATACTTGGTGGGCACAGCCACAGCCGGGGAGCAGCTGCTAATGAGTGCTCAGCGCTGTCAGAGCTATTTCTGATTTCCGAGCCTAAATTTAGATTGTCTGGCAGGCTGGCACGTGGGTCTGGGGCCTGAAGAGTCCCAGGTAGGGAAGAGGCAAAGGGGCATCCTGCCTTCTGCCATTGTTGAGACAGGTACACCAGGCGGCCCCACATAGAGTCTGTCTCTAGCACTAACCCTGGAGTGGCTCTGAAGGTGTGAACCAGGGCTGTGGCTCAAAGCCAGTCAGCCCCCTCCCCCACCTGGCTGGTTTTATAAGGTAACCTTTGGCAGGTCACTGAGTTAATTTGTGCCTGCATCTGTGAGATGGGCATATTAACGGTGCCAACGATGATGGTCAGGACAAGAGATCAGTGTCTTGGCATGGAATGCATTTAGATGAGGCTGGTTTTTTAACCCGACTGTTGGGGTTATTATTGAAGTTAGAATTACTGCTGAGTGGTAGTGACATACACTTTTAATCCCAGCACTCAGAGAGGAGGCAGAGGCAGGCAGATGTCTGTGAGTTTGAAGCCAGCCTCATCTACAGAGTGAGTTCCAGGACATAGTGAAACCCTATCTCAGAAAAATAAATAAATAAGTAAATAAAACAAAACAAAACAAAACAAACAAACAAAAAAAACCAGACAATAAAAAAGAAATACTACTGAGCCATTCCAGAGCCAAACAGGTCTGTCTCCAAGGTAAGTGAGACCTCAGACATCCTCTGTAAGAGAGCTGTCTGTCCCTCTAAGGCTCAGAAGCCTGGGCTTAGCATCCTCATCTCCCTCCTCTTCACTGGCCCCAGCTCCAGGGTCCTGGCAGGCCTGACTCCCACTTCCTCTTTCCCCTGCCCTGCTGCACCTCAGCCCCCCACCCCACCCCCACCCCCCAGCTCTGTCTCTGTCAGATGGGGATAAATCAGACAGAGAGGAAAAGTGGCTTCCTAAGCCCCCTGGAGTAAAGTAGGCCCTGCCCCACAGCCTTCAGACCCCTTATGGAAAGACTATCATGCAGCAGGAGCTGGCCTGGCACAGTTTCCTCAGACCAGGCTCACTTTCGCAATGGGGACAGGGATGACGTACCTCAGTCCCTGGCTGGCCTTGGAGTATGGTGGGTGGGCAGTTTCACCTCACACATAGGGCCCCATCCGGAAAGCTTAGCCAACGGGGGCTGATAATACCCAGCTTCCTGTTCTCCGAGGATGAGTCAAGGCAGTGATTTGGGGTAAGGTCTGGCCAGAGCCCCAGACCTAACCCTGTCACCCAAGAGGGGAAGCTAGCTGAGGAGTCTTCAGTGGGTGTGGCTCCGTCTCTGCTCCAGCTCTATCCTCTTCTCAGAGCCAAGGGTCAGAGAGTACAGCCTAAACTACCAGAGTGGGTGGCAGACAACTCCCAGACTTTGGGCTGGGCTCCTTAGGGGGTTCCCATATCCCCCGTAGAATCCAGACTAAACTGGAGGCTCCATGAGGGCAAGAATTGGCACTGGGGGACCGACATACAGTTAGGTTCTCATTAAACTTGAGGTTTCCTAAATTGGAGTAAACTGGCCTTTTTTTTCTAGGTCTATTGGGCAGATTTGCTTGTCCTTGGGGACGTGGGGACCCCTGCTTTTGGCAACATCTACTTAAACCCACAGTCCAGGCTGAACTGTACATCTCTTCTGATCTGTGGTGACAAGAACGTGCAGCTAGGGGGAGAGGAGCCAGAGGGTTATCTCAGACCCTGGGTGTGTGTGTGTGTGTGTGTGTATGGGAGAGTCCCAGCCTGGGCCACCAGAACCACAGGCCCAGTGTTGGGCCTATTCTGCGGTAGAAGGACTTCCATCCTTTAAATCCCCCTACCTCTGCTGCTGTGACACATCTTTCTGGAACTCCCTGGCATTCCCTAGGAACACACCCTCCTAAGCCCCCTCAACCCTGGTGACCTGGACCTAATCTGTGTACACAAGGTATCTGTGACATGTGGGAATAAGACCCTGCTGCCAGGTCCCATCTGGGCCGATCTGGCTCCTCACTTCAGTGGGGACGGAGATTATGTCTCCTTAGCTCCAGTGAGTAAAATGGAGCCTAGAGGTGTTGGGAGTTCCCTGAGGAATGCACACACTTGCCTCATGCTAGGTGTGCCGGGAAGCTGATGTGGATGGTGTCAGGGCCCAGTCAGACTTGGATTTAGAAACCCTCCCCTCACCCTGTCCCTTTCTAGCTCAGGCCCTGGGGCCTCGGGGAAGGTGGCCTACCTCTAGGGGCTATGGTTTTCTCACTGGACAACACTGCTTATTGTTAGGATGAAAGGATGCACATCTTTGAGGGAACCTTGAGGGATTCCCTGAAGATGCCTTTCTCTCCTTCTTGCTTATGGAGGAATCCTGGTCTCAGGGGCCTTTGTCTTCCACCCCCTCCCCCAGAACTGTATGAACTTGCCTCCAGACAAGGTCCAGCTGCTGAGCCAGTATGACAATGAGAAGAAGTGGGAACTCATCTGTGACCAGGTGGGTACCGGGAAGACTCACCTGTTCTTGGGGTACTCTGCTCTGAGATATAGGAGCAGGCAGGAGGGGCCCGCCATGTTGCCCAGAGAATAATATCTACTAAGGTCACTGGGGACCATTGTAGGACTCTATCCTCTCTTGCAAAATCTGATCAGAGACCTTAGGGGTCATCAGCAGGGTGTGTCCTAGAGAACTGGCAGTGGCTGCCCTGCTCTGTACCACTGGGGACTGAGCCTAGGGCTTCAAGCAGTCTGCCGCTGAGCTGTCCATAACACTTGGGTTTCCGTTTTTGAAACCCAGTCTTGCTATACAGCTCAGGCTGGCTTCCAAGTCATGTTCCTTCTGCCTTAGCTTCCAGAATTCTGGGATTATGTACAGGTGTGGGTCTCCATGCCCAGTGGCTTGATTTTCCTACCCTTGGCTAAGAAAAGGAGGCAATATCCCTGGGTTTAGCTAACTGGAGTGGGAGAAAGGGGCAGGGACAACTGTCTTTCTTCTGAGGTCTGAGGAGACACAGTCAAGCAGCCATCTCCAAGAGCAGTTAGTTCACACTGCTGGCTGGGCCCTGGGTTCCCTGGGTTGCCTCATCCTTCTGGCTGCTGGGGGCCCAGAGTACTCTTTCCTCGAGCAGGGGTGGAGTAGGGTGGGCTGGTTGCAGCAGGGTCATCCAGAAGAGATAGGAGCTGCTTTAAGCAGAGGCCTGGAGGCTGGAGGGGAGTAGGGAGTTGGAGGGAGGAACTCCCCTCTCTCTGGGACCCAGCGCAGTCTTTCCCTAATGGACTGGGTTGGGGCATAGCAGCTGGGCATCCATCTTGGTAAGGCTGGGCCATGGCAGAGTAGGGAGTGTCCTAAAGCCTCTGGAGCTGCGGTAGGTGTCCCTGGTGAAGGGCTCTGCCTGGATTCTCAGAGGTTAGGCTCAAAGTCTTCAGAGCAGAAAGTAGAAGAGGGTGTCTGGGCATACCTGAGGGTTTTGAGCTGGGAAGAATAGGAGCCTTGGGGAGAGGGTGTGTCTCTGCTGTGGTCCCTGCAGAGAGAAAGGACATCTGTCCTGGAGGTGGGCTGTCTACCTGCCAGGGAGCTGGCTTCTGCCTGAACTTTCCACTCTAGTCCAGGAAGGGCATGACAGGCCTGAATGAATAACTCAAGGCAGGGCCCGTGGCAGAACTGGCCTCTAGTCCACAGGCCCCAGGAGAGGCACAAACCAGGCCTGAGGCTAACTAAGGTCTTCCATATGTCCGAAGTTTGTACTTCTGGTATTGCAGAAGTTGTTTAAGACAGCCTGAAACCTCAAGTCTGAGCTGAGAAGGGGGTGTTGGGAGGAAAAATATCCAGTAGCCTTTGGACAGGCTCTCTGTACACTCCATCCATCTTCCCAGGAGCGGTTTCAAGTCAAGAATCCCCCTGCAGCCTACATTCAGAAGCTGAAGAGCTATTTGGATACTGGTGGGGTCAGCCGAAAGGTAGCAGCTGATTGGATGTCCAATCTGGGGGTATATATCTCCCTTTCTATCCTGTACCCTCTAAACAGCTGGAGTGGTCATGTATGTCTTTTTTGTAGCTTTGTGTGAGTTCATGTATAAGCAAGTATGTATGTGTAATTAATTATAGGGGACTGAATACCCCAGGTAGGCTCTCTCATAGACTCATGTACGTATCTTACATGTGCTTACACGAGCATTCCTGTGTGCATTTGTATTGTATATATGTGTACCCTGTATATTCATACATAGATATGTATGTATGTGGTAGATGTGTGTACTTTGAGGTTTGTAGGTTTATTTGTTCTCATGTGTATCCCTGAGCTCATGTATATGAGAAAGAGAGAGTGGGAGAGTGTGTACCCGTGCATAAACAATGGATAGGCACCCTGTGTGTCCAGGGTCTCCTGGGTGGATGTGCATGCTTGTGTTTGATGTGTCTATGTCCAGTCTGTTTGTGTAGAGATGTGTGTGCGTGTATGCTATATCTCTGTATGGGGTATGTCTGTGCACCCAGCATATTCAGTCGTGTGTGGAGGTACCCTCCATGTTGGCGGGGAGGCATGTAGTCCGTGAGTGTTCATCCTGCTGGGCAGGTGCATGGAGGTGGTGGGGGAGGCTAAACGTGAAAGGCCTTGAACGCATGGCGGGGGTGTTACTTCTGGCTGCTGTCTCAGGACTGTGGGAGTCTGGGCTCCACCCTCAGACCTTGTTTTTGGCCCCCAGTTTAAGAGGCGAGTTCAGGAGTCTACCCAGGTGCTGCGGGAGCTGGAGACTTCCCTGAGGACAAACCACATTGGGTGAGTTTAGGAAGACTCTGGGGCCTTCCAGGCCCTCCATCACAGGCTAGGCCTGTGGGACCATTTCCTTTCTCCTCTGCTGCCTGTGCTGGACGTATACACAGTGAGCGGGCTGTGGGTCGGCCCAGGCCTGCAGCAGCCTCTGGAATCCCTGAGTCTCTTGAGGATAGGGGATGGCATTATGTTCTGGGGCAAGGGCACGCAAGGGTTTTTGCTTTGGGAGCTTGTTGCTCACTTGGGAAGAATCCTTTCCTTTCAGGCTGTAATAATTGAACCTCGTCCTCTGCAGGTGGGTGCAGGAGTTCCTCAATGAAGAGAACCGTGGTCTGGATGTCCTGCTTGAGTACCTGGCCTTCGCTCAATGCTCTGTGGCGTAAGCCCCTGTCCCTAGTCCTCGGGATGCCCCTTAGAGTCCTGATCACACATTCCCAGGCCTCAGCTACCCCTCTGAACAGGAACTGATCTCTTGCCCTGTCTCGGGAAAGTTGGACTGGCCCTGGGGTGATGGTTCTTCAGAAGGCCTGTCCTTGTCCTGGAGGGACATTCCTTCTCCCTTCACTATGTTCAGCATAGAGCCAGGCTGTGGTGGTTCAGATCTCTAATCCCAGCCTTTGGGAGGCAGAGACAATCAGATCTCTGTGAGTTCTGGTCAGCTTGGTCTACAGAGTGAGAAGCCGTCTCAAAAAGTAAAACCAAAATCAAAAAATGAGAACCATGAATGAACATAGCCTTCTCTTCCTGCCTCAGTCTCTCTTGCAAATCCCGCTTGCCTAGAATGTCCCCCTGTTCCCCCTATTTAAGTGTTCCTTGTGCTAGAAACATCCAAGCTCCTCCCATCCCATTTCCAGATATGACATGGAAAGTACAGACAATGTGGCTGCTAGTGCAGAGAAGAACAAGCCTCTGGAACAATCTGTGGAAGACCTCACCAAGGCACCACCCTCATCTGTGCCCAAAAGTCGCCTGACCATCAAGTACGCAGGGCCCCAGATGGGAGGATGGGAGAGCCGCACACTGCCACATCCAATCAGGACCCCAAGGGTTGGTGGGAGGTGTAGTTCAGCATGAGGGATCAGAGTCTTGGCTCTTGGACACAAATGTATTAGGCCTTCAGGTGGAGGCATCTAGAAACTAGAATCTGAGGGGGACTGGAATAAGGAGGGGATTTTGGGGTGGGTAGGATCCCTTTTGTACCCATCTAACCCCTTGTTTCTTCCTATGCGGCCTCCAGGTGCCCCCCTTCTCCCCGGTACGTAGTCACCTGGGGGCAGGTGCATGCTGGGCAGATTCTGTGGGGTGGTGGGTTGGAAGACACAGTCAGCTAACACCGCTGCATTCAGCTGCTGTGGATTGGTTTCCTCATCCTGACACAGACATTCTGCCATCTTGTTGGGATGCAGGGAGGGGGAAGGAAATATCCCTGGAGCATCAGCTTCCTCTATTGGGTCTGAGGGACCACATATATGTTATTTATTTATTTGTGTGTGTGTGTGTGTATGTGGGTCAGTGTAAGTGCTAATGCTAAGCATGGCTTTTATATGGGTGCTGGGGATTTGAACTCAGGTCATCTTGCTTCACAGCAAGTGATCTTACCAACTAGCCATCTTCACAGCCCATAAAATACATATGCATACATATATATATATATATATATATATATATATATATACATATGTATGTACACACACACACCCACACACACAGGTTTTGGGACTTGCAGCCAGGGCGCAGGCATGTAAGGAAAGTATTCTTACCCTGAGCTACACCACCAGCCTGGACCAACTGTGTATTAAGCCCCAAGATCTCACAAAATCTTTCTCTCTTTCTTCATTCACTCACTTAACAGTTTTTAAGACACTCATGAAATCCTAAATAGTACATATTAGTGGCAAGTGCCCACAAGACAGCTCATTCTGCTTTCGGGGGCCACAGTCTAGTGGGAGACAATTTAGTGTGGTATATACTCATAGAAATGTGGTGTGGTACGCAATCATGGAAGAATGACCTGGACCTCTGAGAAGGGAGGTGCCCATTTGCCCACTGCTACCGGATACAGGGAAGGGTTCCAGCAGAGATGGCACTGGAAGGATTTCTAACAGATGGGTTGTGGCCTTATAGCAAGCGATGGGGGTGGGGCGGGGCAGCATGAGCAAAGACAGGCAGTGATGGGAAAGGTTGATGTGGCAAGCAGCAGAGAGGACTGAGATGGAGAGGTGGGGCTGGACAGTGTGGCTGGAAAAGTTACAGAACGGTCAAGAGGATCAACGTGTGCAAGACCTGGCTGGTGGTTCTACAAGAATGGAAACCTTGCTTTTTTTTTTTTATTTTTATTTTTTTGGCCAAGAATACTAGAGAGTGCATTAGGTGCCAGGCTGGAGCCTATTATATAATACCAACAGGCCTGTGAGGAAGTGTTATTGAGGCCAAGGAGACAGCTCAGTCAGTAAAATGTTTGCCTTGTAAGCATGAAGGCCTGAGTTGAATCCCTGGCACCCCTGGAAAAAGTTGGGTACAGCGATACATGCTTGTAGTTCCAGCACTGGAGAGGCAGAGACGAGAGAATCCATGGGGCTCAATGCCCAAACAGCCTAGCTATTTGGCAAGCACCGTGTCCCAGTGAGAGGCCTTATCTCAAAAGAACAAAGTAGGGGCTGGGCAGATGACTTGATGGGTAAAGGGCTTTGGCACAAGCACGTGGACCAGAGTTTGGATCTCTAGCATCCATGTAAAAACATGCACCTGTGTTCTCAGTGCTGGGGAGACAGACAGGAAGGCCAGTGGAACTTGCTGGCCTGCCAGTCTAGTAGACATAGAGCATCTGGGTTTAATAAGAGAACTGTGCCAAAAAACAAGTAAAGACTGGTAAAGGAAAATATATGAAATCAACCTCTGGCCTTCACGTGCACACTGAAGTGAGTGCACACACATATATGCAAGTGTGCATGCACACACCACATACACAACAACTACAACAAACGAGGTGAAAAGCTTCTCAAGAATGATGCTCAAGTTTGATGGGTCTGCACACACACACACACACACACACACACACACACACACTCGTGCGCGCGCTGGCATGCACATACACGCATGCACACACATGCACACAAAGGCCTGTACACACACAGGAAATGCACTAGCATGCGCACATTTGCACACACATGAAATACACACACATGTACACATGAAGTATCTACTATTGCTAGGTGTGGTGGTATAAACCTGTGAAGGAGGCCAGCCTGGTCTACGTGAGACTTTGTCTAGTTCCCCCTGCCTCCTCCAGTATGGTGCTAATGTTGCCATTCCTTTTACAAATGAGGAAAGTGGGATTAAATCCTTCTCCACTAAGTAGTAATCAGGAATGTTGTTGAATCTAGGCACTTTGCCTTTAGTCTGCCTCTCAAGATGGAAGACTAGTCTAAGTGTCTGTGAGCGCCACCTTGTGGACACATTCCTGGTGTCTAGCTATTTACAAGCTTTGTCTTTGGTGAACTTTCCATTCATAACACAGCTCTACTCCCTCCCTGCATTCTCCCTCCCTCCCTTTTTTGTTTTTTGAGACAGGTTCTCGTGTAACCTAGGGTAGCCTCAAACTCTACTATGTAGCCAAGGCTGGTCTTGAACTCCAACCCTCTTTCCCTTACTTCCAAATACTGGAATTACAGGCACATGCCACCATGCCTGGCTCACAAAAGCCCTTCTAAAAACCAAGTCTTTCAAAAGGCTTTTGCTTCTTTTACCAACCCTCACCACCTCCCCTCAGCATGCCAGCCCCTGAGGAAGAATTCCTGCCGCCTTCAGCTGACCCATTGGGTTGGGTAGATAAGGAACAGTGGCTTAGAGTTCCAGATATGTCCCCCTCACTCCAAAGGACATTTTACTGGTGCGGGGGAGCTGGGGATTGAGGCTCTGACCCTGCCTCTGCCACACCCACCAGGCTGACACCGGCCCACAGTAGGAAGACCCTGAGGAATTCCCGCATCGTCAGCCAGAAGGACGATGTCCACGTGTGCATTATGTGTCTCAGAGCCATCATGAACTACCAGGTCAGCTGGTGGGTGGCATGGGATTAGGGTCTCAGGAGCTGACTTGTCCTCATGGGGCCTGTACAAGTTGCTGATATTCTAAGACCAAGTGTCACTCTCCCCTGGAACCCCATCTGGGAAGCCTGGGGGGCCTGGGCTATGTTGTGGGGCCCCCAGAACGATGTTTTATGGAAAGCCCTTGGTTTTGTTACCTCATGTCAGGTGTGCTGGAGTGGCCTTGTGTGTGGAGGGGGTCGTGGGGGCCTCAGATGGAGATCAAGGCAGCTTGGGTAGCGGTGTCTATGGGAGGTAGTCGAGGGGGCTTGGCTATGGCATTGGGAGGTGGCTGTGGTGGGTGCAGCCCCCTTCTTTGCTCCATGAGCCTGCGGGTGTGTCCAGCCTGTATCCTGTGGGTCCCATGCAGCTGAGGAGAGCTCAGTCCAACACAAGACTGTAATCATTCTTAAAATATTGAGATTTTATGTATGTTATTATTGTTATTGTTTTTCTGAGACAGGGTCTCACAGTGTAGCCTTAGCTGTCCTGGAACTTGCTCTGTAGACCAGGATGGCCTTGAACTCACAGAGATCCGCCTGCCTCTGCCTCTGCCTCCTGAGTGCTGGCACTCAGCCACTGCCTGGCTGGGTCTGGCTTCTTAAAGAAGAGTTTATGGCTGGGTATGAAGAACTTGGAGCATTAGAGGCCAGAACAGCATGGCCCAGACTATGCTGGGGGTGTTGACAATCTTGGGGACCTGCCTGGAGGTGCTGACCTTTCCTCTCTCCCCAGTCCGGCTTCAGCCTTGTTATGAACCACCCAGCCTGTGTCAATGAGATCGCTCTTAGCCTTAACAACAAGAACCCCAGGTGAGGTCTATACTCCTAACTGGTTTCTTGCTTCTGCCCTTGCAAACTCCGTCGCTTATCATCAGGACCGCTGCCCAGGCCCGCCCCCCTCCCCTGTTCTCTAGCCAGGCCCATGCCAGCCATGCTGTGGGGTCCAGCCTCCCTCTTCTCTTTGCAGAACCAAGGCTCTGGTGCTGGAGCTGCTGGCAGCTGTGTGCCTGGTGCGGGGAGGACACGACATCATTCTTGCAGCTTTTGACAACTTCAAGGAGGTACTGGATCCACCATCCCAAACCTACTTGCCCTTCTGGTGCTCCTTGGAATCTGGTTGCCAGAAATTGTGGACATCTGATAGGGCATCTGAGTGCTGGGATAAACAGTGAAGCCACCATGCCCAGACAGTCAACCAAGCTTTAGAGCTGGATCTGAGTTAAACATGCTGGTGCGGGGCTATATCCCAGAGTCAGAAAGATTAGGACTTACTTCAAGATTATCATTGGTTACATAGTGAGTTCAAGACCAGCCTCTAGCCTCCAAAACCCCAAATCCCAAACTTATGCCAAACCAAAAACCAACCCAAGAAAGAAAGAAAGAAAGAAAGAAAGAAAGAAAGAAAGAAACAAAAAGGCTTACTGGATGTGTTCATACATTCTTCCATGAATGTGTACTGAGGGCTGACTGGACCAGGCACAGAAGCAGGCCCTTAGGGTACATTGGTGAGCAAAAGAAATGAAAAGGCATGAGAGGGCTGGGGTAACAGTACTCATTCAATAAAGTACCTACTATGCAAACACAGGACATGCGACCCCGAGCCCACACAAAAAAAAGCCAAGTTTGTCAGGCATGGTAGCACACTCCAGAGGCAGAGGCAAGTGGATCTTTATGAGTTCCAGGCCATCCATGGCTATATGGTGAGACCATGTTGTAAAAACAGAAAATCCCAGGGATCAGAGAGATGGCTCAGTGGTTAGGGGCACTTGTTCTTGCAGAGGACCCAGAAATCAAATGACACCCCACAACTGTCCACAACTCCAGTTCCAGGGGATCTAATATCCTTTTCTGACCTCTCTAGGCACCAGGCACGCTTGCATATACATGCAAGCAAGCATTCAATAAAATAAATCTTAAAAGAAATAGTGTAGTGGTAATGTGATTGCAACTCCAGGACTGAGGAGGCAGCGATAGGCAGTTCTGGAGCTCAGTGGCAGCCAGCCTAGCCTACTTTGTGAGCACCGGGCCACTGAGACACCCTTTCTCTAAAACACGGGATGAGGCTGGAGAGATGGCTCTGCCGGGTTTGGACACTAGCCCCTACATCAGGAGGCTCACAAATGCCACATTTACATGCAATTGGAGAGGAACTTGTAGGGGCACAAGGGTGGCGGCCAAAAGGTGTGACCCATTATTTAGTGACTGCCATTCTCCATCTCCAGGTGTGTGGGGAGCAGCACCGCTTTGAAAAGCTGATGGAATATTTCCGGAATGAAGACAGCAACATTGACTTCATGGTGAGTTTCCGAGCTCTGCGGCTGAGGACTGGCTGGGCCCTATTGCATGCTGGGAGCAGTTTAGGACTCAGGGTTTTGCCACAGCGAAGTGTAAGGGCTGAGTTGTCAGTGGGAACAGGTGGGTGTCAGGGGAGTAAGGACTGGACCAAGGGGACCAGAAGGTCACAAGACTGAAGAGAGGGAGGGAGGCTTGGGGACAAATAGGAGGTGGAGGAGAGCAGCACTGGTGTTCCTGGCCCCCAGGTGGCTTGCATGCAGTTCATCAACATTGTGGTACACTCAGTGGAGAACATGAACTTCCGTGTCTTCTTGCAATATGAATTCACCCACCTGGGTCTGGACCTGTACTTGGAGGTGAGCCCCGCACCCCATCCCTGGGCCCCTGGCTGAACTACCCCCACCGACTGTGGAGTATGCAGTTATGTATGTAGTATATAACTAGCAGGTCTTGAGTTCAAATCCTGGCTCTGAGAGCTGGGTTTAGTGATACATGCCAGTCATCAGATCACTTGGGAAGCCAAGGTAGGAGGGCGGCAAGTTCAAGTTCAGTATGGGCTTCTCTCCCCCTCCCCACAAAATGATGGTAAAAACCCACAAATAAACAGAATCCTACCTCTGCCACTTGCTAGCTGTGTAACCCTGCACACATCCGTTCATCCTTCTGAGCCTGTCTTCCTGTCAATCACAGGTGATAAAGACTCTAAACATGTACAGGAGCTTCTGGTCCATGATGGATACCTAGTATAACATCTGTCACCAAGGCCCTGGAACAGGCTCAGGTGGCTCTGGGTGTGACCCAGGAGCATCGGCTCCATCAACACATGGGGAGCCCAGAGATACTGGACAGAGGGGGGGGGGCTGCCTCAGGTTGAGTCTGGGTCTTGGGAAGAGGGGACAGAGGAACTGTGAGCGGGAAGCCACAGCTTTTGTTCTGATTCCCTTGGGAGACTTTCTAGAGGGACGTGTGTGCGTGCGTGCGTGCGTGTGTGTGTGTGTGTGTGTGTGTGTGTGTGTGTGTGTTTGGGATTGGATTTCCTAAAGCTAGGACTGAATGAGGGGTGTGGTCAGACACCAGCTTCGGCATGGCTGAACCTTCAAAGAAGACAGAAGCCAGCTGAGAAAGGCTGAATATAGGGAGGGGCGATGGCTTGACGATTAAGAGCACTCTACTCCTTCAGAGGTCCCCCCATGTCAGGTGGTTCACAATCTCCTATAACTCCAGCCCCAACCCTAGGGGAGCCGGTACACTCTTCTGGTCTCTGAGAACACCTGAACTCACGTGGTACCCATACTCTCACAGGGACATACATACATACATGAAAATCTGAATTTTATATATGACTTCTAAAACTAAGAAATGTCCAGAATGGCTAAATCCATAGAGGCAGGAAGTAGATTCGCGGCTGCCAGAGGAGATAAGGGGAAAGACACCCTAACTCGCACTGACCTTTTGGGAAACCGGTAACACAACACATCTTGAAATAATGAATTGTGTGGTGTGTGAATTATAGCAATAAAAATAAAAAGCAAACTAGAGCTCAAGTACCTTCGTCTGGGTCCTAGTAGCAGTGGTGGTTAGGTAGACACCCCGTCTCACCACGCTCCTGCTGTGCTGTCTGGGGACAGAGGCTCCGGCTGACAGAGAGTGACAAGCTGCAGGTGCAGATCCAAGCGTACCTGGACAACGTTTTTGATGTGGGAACCCTGTTGGAGGACACAGAGACTAAGAATGCAGTCCTGGAGCACATGGAGGAGCTGCAGGAGCAGGTGGCACTGGTAAGAGATGGTCCCAGCTAGTCTGTTACATAGTAGAGGCCCACAGGGAGGCTGCCCCGCGCTCCTCTTATGCAGCAAGAACTGAATGGGAGATACACTTCTGGCTGTAGATTGGAGGCGGCAGTCTGCCTGGGCTCTGAGTTTGCCCTCCATCCAAATCCGGAGTCCTTTTGGTGTCATTCTCAATGAGTCTTCAGGGAGCGCCCACGCTGTGTGGGACGTGTGTGCGCAAGGCAGGCACCTCCTCCCTGCGCAGATTCCAAACCCGGACTCCAGTGAACTAGATCCGGGGGTCCCTCTCCGCACAATCTTCTCCCCCACCACCTTGCTTCGCACCGGTGCCTTGGTTTCCCCTCTTCCTGTATTTGGGTTCAGGTGCCAGGCACGGCCCACCCTTGGCACCGGCACGCGGGGCCAAGCGGATGTGGGAGCCACCCCCAGCCCTCCAGGCAGGCTTGCCTGATGCCGCCCCCTCACCGGCGGTGCCAGTGCCTGGCCGCGGGTGGTAGCTCACCATGTGCTGGTGCCACAGCTGACAGAGCGGCTTCGGGACGCAGAGAACGACTCCATGGCCAAGATCGCTGAACTGGAGAAGCAGCTAAGCCAGGCGCGCAAGGAATTGGAGACCCTGAGGGTGAGCTGTGGGTGTGGGCTGGGCCAGGCCGAGGGTGTGGGCTGGGCCAGGCTTCCCAAGGAGTCTTCTCCGCTTGACATCCCAGTCTATCCCAGAAGAGGATTGGGCGCGGGGTTGCTCTTTGCCAGAGAGCTTGCCCGTAGGCACTAATCCCTCTCCTGGGGCTCGCAGGAGCGTTTCAGCGAGTCGACCCCCATGGGCACGGCCAGACGAATCCCTGAGCCTGAGAAAGTGCCTGCCCCTACCATGGTACGACCCTCAGCTCTAGAGCTAAAAGTGGAGGAGCTTGAGGAAAAGGGGTTAATCCGAATCCTGAGGGGGCCCGGGGATGTCGTCTCCATCGAGATCCTCCCAGGAGCGGTGGCGACACCAAGTGGCGACAATGCACCAACTCCAGGGGTGCCCACAGACTCTCCTAGCCCAGGTGCGCAGTTGGTTTCATCCTGGGGGAGAGAGAGACCAGGGCAATGAAAGGTTTCCCGAGGATATATCTGGCTGTGAAAGATAAGGAGGTTTGGATTGTGGGTGTGGCACAGGTACATGTAGGTGGCTTGAAATGGGTTCTGGATGTATGCATTGGGCAGGGAGGTGGCGAGGACCCGCCTCCCCAAGCGAAGAAGTTGACGGGTTCCTCCCATGCCCTCTCTGGGCTCCCATCTCCCACCTGCAGCAGAGTCAGTTCCCGGGGCAGCGTCACCACCGCCGCCGCCGCCGCCACCGCCGCCACCACCGCCGCCACCCCCACTACCTAACCTCCAGTCCCAGCAGGAAGCCCTTTCCTCTGCACCCCCGCTGGCCCCGCCTCTCCCAGGCTGCGCAGAGCCTCCACCTGCACCGCCGTTGCCTGGAGACCTGCCGCCCCCACCCCCACCACCCCCACTTGGTACTGATGGACCAGTGCCACCGCCACCCCCACCACCTCCGGGAGGGCCCCCTGATATCCTGGGAGAGCAAGGCCCAGAGATAGGCCCTGGTAAGTGGAGTGAACTATCTCAGATCCCTTCCCCTCCTGCCTGTCTTGTTAGACTTGGCTGGGTTAGTTCCCTCCAATGTCTGCACTGACGATTTCTTCCTGCTCCCAGGAGTGAAGACCAAGAAACCCATCCAGACCAAGTTCCGGATGCCATTGCTGAACTGGGTGGCACTGAAACCTAGTCAGATCACAGGCACTGTCTTCACTGAGCTCAACGATGAGAAGGTGTTACAGGTGAGTGGGTAGCAGAGCTGGGCACAGGGGCGGCCATCTCCTTCAGGATGGGGAACAGAGTGTGGGTTTTAAGATCCTGGATTGGTGCATCCAGAAGACAGTATCCTGATGGTTGCAGGCTTTCTGCTCCCCGGAGTGTGGCCTGGGCTCCCTGGCCTTGGGCTATTGCTCACACTGTTTTCTCCGCCCGGAATAACCTTTTACTGCCAGCTGCTCAGCCCTCCCTTCGGGAATGGCTGGGAATCTGGGTCCTCTGTGTTGTGGTCTTCTCAGTCACACCTTTCTTGTGTTTTTCCTGTATCTCCTTTCAAGGCTGTGGTCAAGCTAGCTCACTGGTTATTCTGTCCAATGGTGTTCTGTTGGGCTATACTTGCAGCCTTAGCTCTGGGCAGTGTTGAGCCAGGAGTGTGGGCGGATCTCAGCTCCATTCAGCCTAGCAGTCTCTTCTTTGCATCCTTAGGAGCTAGATATGAATGACTTTGAGGAGCAGTTCAAGACCAAATCTCAAGGCCCCAGCCTGGACCTCAGCACTCTGAAGGGGAAGGCGGCCCACAAAGCCCCCACCAAGGCAATACTCATTGAGGCCAACCGGGCCAAGAATTTGGCCATCACCCTGCGCAAGGGCAACCTAGGGGCAGACAGAATCTGCCAGGCCATTGAGACGTAAGTACTTGGGCTGGGGTGTGGCCCAGTCCCCTTGATAGGCTAGGGACATCAGGCAGAGCTTAGTAAGAACCCCAGCAGTAGTGGAGGCAGGTGGATCTCTGTGGGTTCAAGGTCAGCTTGTTGAGTTCCAGATAGCCAGAACTATATGGTTAGACCCTGTCTCAAAAAACCAAAAAGGCATGGCAGGTAATGGTGGCGCACGCCTTTAGTCCCAGTACTCGGGAGGGTGAGGAAGGTGGATCTCTGTGAGTTCCAGGCCAGCCTGGTCTACAGAGCAAGTGCCAGAATAGGCTCCAAAGCTACACAGAGAAACCCTGTGTCAAAAAACAAAAAACTAACAAAAAACTAACAAAAACCAAACAAAACACAAACCAAACCACCAAAACAAAACAAAACAAACCCCCCCCCACACACACACACACAAAAAAGCAGGTGAATTCGAGGCCAGCCAGGTCTACAAAGTGAGTTCCAGGACAGCCTGGAACAGAGAAACCCTGTCTTGAACATTCCCCCCTCCCCAAAAACAAAGAACCCCAGCAGTGGGACAGAGCCCATCAAACTTTATACCAGTCCTGGTGAGGGAACATTGTCCTCATTTTCTTGCCAAGAAAACAGACTGTACATGTCCAGATTGAGACCTCCCGACTAGCTTCCTGCTTCTGCCCAGCACGGGCACCCAGGCCAAAGGATTTATGTATAGCATCTGCCAGTGTTGTATGATAGGACTGGGCTTCCCAGCTTCCAGTTCCCTTGACTCCTACTCTCTTGTTCTCCGAAGCTGGCTGACTGCAGATACTAAATGTTGAAGGCTGTTTTTTCAGTCCTTTTTTCTGGGGTGACACCCACTCTCCCCTCTGTTTCCTCATACAGCTATGACCTACAGACTCTGAGCCTGGATTTCTTGGAGCTGTTGACTCGCTTCCTGCCCACAGAGTACGAGCGCAGCCTCATAGCCCGCTTCGAGAAGGAACAGCGGCCGATGGAGGAGCTGTCAGAGGAGGACCGATTCATGCTGCGCTTCAGTCACATCCAGAGACTGCCGGAGCGCATGAACACGCTCACCTTCCTGGGCAACTTTCCAGACACTGCTCAGCTGCTCATGCCGGTGTGGGCAGGACGGGCAGGGTGGTGTGGTGGAGCCTGGGCTGGGGGTAAGGAGGAAGCTTCTCTGAGCTCAGCTTACCTCATCTTCACCCCATCCTTAGCAACTGAACGCCATCATTGCAGCCTCAATGTCCATCAAGTCCTCTGACAAGCTCCGCCAGATCCTGGAGGTAAGAGCCTAGGGCAAGGGACTGGGGGAACACGGCCTACCCTTCCCTAGTCTAAGTAGCGTCAAAAGGGAGACTCAAGCCTTTTCCACCTGGGATATAGCAAAGATGATGTTCCCATTTCTCACATGCATGCTCTGACAGACAAACTATGGCAGGAGGTGGGGGTGGGCAAATAGCAATGTCAGCCATGCTTGCATAGCGTAGTATCTGAGCTCCTGCCACAGGGCTCAGTCCCTCTGGGGATTGCTTTGTGAGAGGTATGGTCACTGCACCTACTCAGTGGCATATCTGCAGACCAGAATACATGGCCATCAAGGGTCTGAGGAGGGAGATGTTGGTAAGCTAGTTTTAGGGTGGAATAACAGAGGATAAAGTTAGAGTATACTCATGGTGTTAATAATGTACACACGAGATGTACACGCAGGTCACATGTGTCGTGAAGGATCCATGCATGAAGGCCTGAATGTGCAGGCTATTTTCTTGCCACATTCCTTCCTTTCTGAGAAATATATATTCTTCAAGGGATTTTCCAGCCTGGATCTCATTCTTTCTCTGCCTTTCCCAGATTGTCCTGGCTTTTGGCAACTACATGAACAGCAGTAAACGCGGGGCAGCCTATGGCTTCCGACTTCAGAGTCTGGATGCGGTAAGAAGGGGCTCCTGGGCTAGGGGCTGGGGGCTGGGTAGTGGCCCATGGCTTATAACAGATCCTTGTCCAGTTGTTGGAGATGAAGTCGACCGATCGAAAACAGACATTACTGCACTACTTGGTGAAGGTCATTGCTGAGAAGTACCCACAGCTCACGGGCTTTCATAGTGACCTGCACTTCTTGGACAAGGCAGGCTCAGGTATAGGGTGTGGGGGTCTTGGGCCACTGATGTGTTAGGAAGGGATACTACAGGGCATAACTGTGCATGCTGCCTGATCTCCTGACACCATGCTGTCCATTCCCTGGACAGTGTCCCTGGATAGCGTCTTGGGGGATGTGCGCTCCCTGCAGCGAGGCCTGGAGTTGACCCAGCGAGAGTTTGTGCGGCAGGATGACTGTGTGGTGCTCAAGGAGTTCCTGAGGGCCAACTCCCCTACCATGGACAAGCTTCTGGCAGACAGCAAGACGGCTCAGGTGCGTGGGGGGGGCGCACAGAGCACTGAAGCCTTAGGGTGGAGGTGTGGAGCCAGGGCCTGGATGGGTGTGGCCACCGGCAGAACTCTGGGAGGATGGAGGAAGAGTAAGGGACCACCCTGTGTGGAAGAAGAGATATAGTATCCTGAGGGGTATGGGGCTCGGTCAGGCTCCAAGGGGACCAAGCTAGTAGGGCTGATGGGTTGTCCTTGCAGGAGGCCTACGAGTCGGTAGTGGAGTACTTTGGAGAAAATCCCAAGACCACATCCCCCTCCATGTTTTTTTCCCTCTTCAGTCGATTCACCAAGGCCTACAAGGTACAAGTGTCTGATGGGCAGGGTGGGTCTGATGTGTTGGGTGTGGGCCTCTCCCTGATAGCAGAGGGAGGAGCGGGGACAGCATCCGTCCTAGGTAGGACAAGAGAAAGAGGAAGGGCTGTCCTCACCAAAGCCTGCCTGCCTCATGCCCTCAGAAAGCAGAGCAAGAGGTGGAGCAGTGGAAGAGAGAAGCAGCAGCGGATACGGATACTGCAGGCAGGGAAGAGCCTCCGGCACCCAAGGTAGGCAGTTGTCCCCGAGCCTGGTACTGGGTACAGAAATTTTCACTCTTGTCTCACCCCTACACCATCAGCATTTAGCTACATGCTGCCCAAGGATAAAGACAGTGCCCCGGAAGCCAGGAGGACAGTGGGTTTAGGTCTGCTTTAGCTGTGGGGGACTGCACAGATGTTCTGGAGTAGGCGGGGTGAGAAGTTTCCTAAAGTTAGAGTTGTTCATCTCCTCAGTCTCCGCCCAAGGCCAGACGACAACAGATGGACCTCATCTCTGAGCTGAAACGGAAGCAGCAGAAAGAGCCACTCATCTACGAGAGTGACAGGGATGGGGCCATCGAAGACATCATCACAGGTGAGAGCACACAGCCAGGTCCCTGTCCCCTCTTCAGCCTCTACTATGTCATTCTCTTTGTTTCTCCCGCCCTGCGGTGGGGTCTGCTGCCTCCCCACAACCCCTTTTGCCTAGAACTCACTATATCGACCCTGCTGGCTTCAAACTCCTGCCTCTGCCTCTACTGTGCTGGGATAGAAGGTGTCAGCCACCAGGCCTATCCTCCATGCCTCTTGCCACCTTTTTCTATTTTATTTTTCTTCTGTTTTCGCTCTTTCTACCTTCTATCTCCGGACTCTCAGTGCTCAAGACAGTGCCCTTCACCGCCCGCACCGGCAAGCGGACATCCCGGCTCCTCTGTGAGGCCAGCCTGGGAGAGGAGATGCCCCTCTAGTTCCCAGGTACCTAGACAGCCTGGCCTGTGATTCCAGCACTGGCACAACTTTGGGGATTTGCGGGGCCAGACATGCCTCCCCATCCTGGGCCACAGCATGGCTGGAATGTTTTAGGGGGTGGTGTTTCTGGCTGAGGCAAATCAGTGTCCCTTTCCACATGTACAAAATCAAATCCTTAGAAAGGTGAGCCTGTGTCCTGGGAAATTGGGCCAATGTGTCCCTTTTGGCTTCCAGATCTTCGAAACCAGCCCTATATCCGTGCAGACACAGGTCGCCGAAGTGCTCGCCGGCGACCCCCGGGACCCCCCTTGCAGGTCACTGCTGACCTCTCGCTGTAGCCACTGTTTCCGCTGGTGGATTTTGTAGGGCTGTAGGCAGGCTGGAGCTCAAGGAAGGTGGTCCTTAGCTCGGCTGGGTCGAGCATCCGCTCCTCTGGCCGACTACAAGCCTTGAAGCCCCTCACCCCACCAGTTCACAGCACCCTCTCCCTCCAATAGCCATACTTAGCCTGAGCGCGAGCCTGGTCTGTAACTTATAAAGTGTACCTCGCCGCCGCCCTAGCCCAGAGGATTCTTCTTGGGCCTTATTTTTATACAAGATTAATAAAGATGTTTGCAAAAGATGCGCGTCGGCTCAGTGCCTGACCCCACCAGGTGCTGCCAGTTTCGCTCAGCAAACGCTTTACTTGTACAAGCTCTTCACAGCACATCTCTGGAAACAGGCTGGCGAAGGGGAGGAGGGGTGCTTCTGCACTAGAGTTGGCGGGGAGGGAGCCAGCTTCGTGGGGCGCATTTGCTCCAGTGGCTGGCTCGCTATCACGACGGGAGGGCGGAAGGGACCTGAGGAAGATCGAGAGGGCAACTCATTATAGATGCGGGTGCGATTAACAACACCTGGGTGCATATGCTGCTCTACAGTCCCCATTTCTTTTGGTTATGGTCCCACTCTACGCCAGCCTCTGCTGCCTGTCAGTCACTCCCCATCTGCTGTCCCGCCTCCGCCCCATCTGCCCTGTCCTATGAGTCTCCTCGGCCGATCTGGTCCCACTCTTGAGGATTCTCACCTTTGCTGAGTGGTCCCAGGTTGGGAGGGAGCTTGGGGCGGCTTGGCTGATGGGGCTTGGGGAGGCGAACTTCGGGGCCTGGGGTTCGGTTCGAGATCCTGCGTTCCAGTCGCGGGCGCCCGGCCAGGTTGGGAATCTGAGCATAGGGGCTGCGCCCACCTGGGGAGGGATCCAGAGGAGGAAGAGGCGGGGATAGTACTGGGGGGGGGAACTGGGGGGGCTAGGCTGCGGATGGTCTGGAGCATCCTTTTCAACCCTCGTGGGGTCCCACCCTGCCCCACGGATCCCCCACTCGCGGCCGGCTGGGGGCGCACCGGCTCTGTACAGTATGTGCAGGGAGCGCGCCAGCTGGGAGCTGGAGAGGCCGCTGAGACGCGCCGCTTGGCAGAAGAAGGTGAGACCGGTGTGTGTACGCGCAGGCCGACCCTGGCCGCGCACCCGGCCCTTAGAGCTTGTGCTCAGCCGCAGAGCCCGCTGCTTCTTGAAATAGTAGCTTGGAGGAGAAAAGTGGGACAGTGGGCTCAGACACGGCCCCTTGGTTTCCTCCATCTTATGTGTGGGGAAACCCAAGCAGGACCAGAAGCTACTTGTCTTTGGCTAAACATGACCTGGGGCCCAGGAAAAGGACACATAATTTTGGGCATTCTCTGGGGGGGGGGTGAAGGGTGGGTGTAGGGGCGGGAGCATCAGGGGACTTCCTGCAAGGGCTGGTTCAGTTCTCGGAATCTTGAGTCTGGGAGCTGGGGATGGCTGTGCACACCTTGTCACCTCCTGCCCTGATTTGGAGGGCACAAAACCCAGCCTCAGCAACTTGAACAGCACCTCGAGGAACAGGGTTTGCAGGCCGGGGGGCTCGTAGACCCGATTGCTCTTCATTTGGCCTGAGGACAGCAAACACAGGTAAGAGTGAGGAGGGATGTCCTCGATAAAGACCCCCACATCCCTGCCCATAACCTTAACCCCTCACCCATGCACTGAGCGAAGCGGTAGTTGTCAGTGAGGACACCCAGGAAGTCCTTGAAGCTTACGATTCCATCACCTGGGAAGACAAGAGGGTGCAGTGGGTACTTCCCTTTAGGAAAGTTTGTCCCGTAGATACGTTAGGGGTTTAAATAGACATTGAGAATTATTTGGGATTTTCTCCACCATCATAAACCTCCCCCAAACCATTCATGCCTTTCAAATAGATTCCATTACTAACATACTTCTGTAGAAGCCAAAGGGTTCTAGTGTGAGTGGATGGCAACAGCTCTTGCCCTGGGGGATGAGGATTGACTCAGTAGCAATGAAAAACTAGGAGATAAGGGTGTTTCCTGGAAGAGGGAACTTGAAAAGAAAAGAAAAAAGGACCAGGGCAAGGATTTTGTAGACAGAGATGGGGCACCCACCATCCAAGTCGGCCAGTCGCAGAGCCTCACACATCTCCTGTGGGCCCAGCTGGATCCCCACGTTGCGCAGTGCAACTTTCATGCTCTGCATGTCCACAGTGCCAGTTGGGCTGCAGCTGAACAGCCTGAAGACATCCTGGAAGGCTGAGGGTGGCAAGGGGACTGTCAACAATCTGAGAACTGCATGTGGTATCCTTGAGACTTTGCCTGGACATCCCAGCGGGGTGGGACTGGGGTCTGACGTTGTTATAACGTTCACTACGATGGACAGCACAGGTGCCTGCTGCGTGTGGGCTCTTACGTTATTCCAGTCTTACAAGATTTGGACATTTCCGACAAAAAACATTTACAATTCATGTCTAGAGGCCAGAGAGATGGCTTGACAAGCAAGGGTGTTTGCTGCCACACCTGATGACCTGGGTTTGAGCCACAGGACCCACATGATAGAGAGAACTGATTCCTATAAGTTGTCCTCTGCCCACCACACAAGTGCAATGGTGCATGCTTGAGCGTGTGCACACACACACACACACACACACACACACACGTATAAACATGTCTTAAAAACTCACACGTGGGACTAGATTTGGTTTAGTGGTTAAGAGCGTGCTGCTCTGGCAGAGAGCCCCTGGATTCTGTGGGCACTGCACGCACACACCTCCCTCCACGCACAACTAACATTAAAAACTATTAAAAAAAAATTCACACCCAAGCTCACATGTGGAGTCTGGCTCTGTGGCTGCTTGGGAGCCCCACTGGGGTGTGGCATATAAGCAAGCACTCAGATTACTGACGTGGTCTCTGTCATGATCATGTGTGACATTTGAGGAACACCTTCTATTTCCCACCTCTCAGACCCTGGGAATTTTTTTTCTGTCCTTTTTTTTTAAACCTATCCCATCCATTCAGGTACCTCTCCTTCACAGACACAGACACACAGAGGTACAGATACGCACACCCGGGGGCACATTAGTGAACAGAAAAATTAGACTGGCATGGAGGGGGGTTGCCAAGGTCGTGCACACCTCAGGGCACATCACTCCTTGCAATTCCGTCCTGAGCATCCCCCACAGTTTCCTCTCTACTTCTGGACTTAGAGGATTCTTACCTGCCAGTTGCCGGGGTGTCAGAGGTACCACGCTATCATCAGTCAGACTGCTCCAGTAAAAGGAGGTGGACATTTAGTACCTGTTGCAGAGAAATTCCAGGGCCAGGCAGGCCTTGCCCCCAAACCAGCACCCCAAACCTGGCCTCTAGTTCCTACCCTCACCTCTGAGACTTGGTATCCAGGCCTGACCAATATGGTTGGGTAGCTTCAAGATCCTTAAATTCTCTTTCTCTCAGTATGGTCTGCTGCTCTGTGGCCATGGCTGATGCTAGCTCTGACTGGGGTAGCTGGCCTGTCTGTGGCCGCAGCCGCCCTTTATGCATCCTGCCAGCCTGCTCCTCTCGTGTGAGGAGACTCCGAGGCTTCTGTGGAGGCCTTGAAGATAGGGAGAAGGCAGACATCCCAGTCAACTGGAAGGCATAGACTCTAGGGTATCTAGGGACAAGGGCTGTGGGTGAGCAGCTCAGTTTCCTCCTCCCAGGATCCTCAGGCCATTCGAACCCACAGCTCTCTAGGAAGGGGCTTCTGTAGCAGGCACAGGGTATGAACCTCCAATTCAGGTGAGAGAGAGAGAAAAAAAGACCCTCCCCCGGCCTAGTTGCCAGTACCTTCTCAGTGTCGATGGGGATCTCCTGGTCTTCTGGCCTCTGCTGTCTGAAAGGCAGAGTCACAGGCTCTGAGGCTGCTCCCAGGCCGCCTCAGTGGTGACTTGAGTTTTGTCAGGAGAGCTGCCAACCCTCCCTCACAGGCTGACTTCCTGCTGGAACCGCTGCTTTCCTCTTCCCAAGTCTTTACCTCCTTTCAGGCACCTGGATTTGTGATTACACTCTTGATGCTGAACCAGGATGACAGAGGCCCTCAAAGAAAAACAGGCTACAGAATCCCAAGTCCAGGTGTGGGGGGCATGGGGTCCTGTCCAACAGAAACGCACTGACTACATTTTAAGACATTCCATGAAACCTTAATATTTAAAAACAATACACATCAGACAATTTCTACTCTCAGATCATTAGTGCGTGAAACTAGAAACCATAGCAGAGAGCTGCAAGATCTCTAAACACCTGGAGATTATTCATTCCTAAACCGGGTGGTGGTGGCTCACGCCTTTAATCCCAGTGCTTGGGAGGCAGAGGCAGGCAGAATTCTGTGAGTTCAAGGCCAACCTGGTCTACAGAGTGAGTTCCAGGGCTACATATAGTAACCCTGTCTCAAAAAACTAAAAAATAAATCAAAATTAAAAAAGAAATCATTTCTAAACAACATGTAGGGTCAACAACATGTAGGGTCAGGTATGGTGATGAACACCCAATAATTCCAGAACTCTGGAGGTTGGGGCAAGAGGATTGTGAGTTCAAGGTTAGCTTGAGCTATAGAATAAGACCTTGTCAAGAGGAGAGAAAGTACTTAAAACAAGACAGTGCTAGGTGGGATGGTGTATGTCAATAATCCCAGCACTTGGGCAGCAAAAGCAGAAGGCTCAGGGAGTCACCCTCAACTCTATAGTAAGTTTGAAACCAGCCTGAGCTACATGAGAACCTGTCTCAAAACAAGCAAACAAAGCATGTACCAAAGAAGAAACCTCAAACTAGACAAAAATAAAAATACAATATAATCAAAAGTGGGATGTAACGAAAACTGCTTACAGAGGCATTTGTAGTATTAGGTGTATGGTTTAGAAAAGGAAAATTCTAAAACCAATAAAGTTCCTATTCTAAGAAACTAGAAAAAGAAGTGCAAATTTCATCTCAAGTAGGTAGAATTAAGACAGTAAAATTAAGAACAAAAATTAAGATGGAAAGCAGAAAATCAATAGTGAAAACAAGTAATGCCCAAATCTTGCTCTTTGCAGAGTAATAAGGTAGATGGGGCTGGTGAGATGGCTCAGTGAGTAAAGGTGCCTGCTGACAAATGTGGTGACCTGAGTTCAAAGGTCAAAGGTTCCCGAGACCCACGTGGAAGAAGAGAACTGACTCCTTGAAACTGTCCTGACATCCATACACATTTCCTAGCATGGGTGTACACACACACACACACACACACACACACACACACACACGCACGCACGCACACAAACACACACCACTATAAACATAAAAATAGGTGGGAAGGAAAGAGTAGTAGCATTGTAAAAGGGGCATCACTATAGATCTCCTGGATATTCAAAGTATAATAAAGGAATATTATAAATGACTATGCTTATAAGTAGATGAAAAACAGAAGCTGCCAAAACTTACATGTGAAGAAATAATATGAATAGACCTCTATCTACTAAGGAAATCAAACCAGTAATTAACAGCCTTTCACAGCAGAGGGTGGTCCATATAAATTCACTGATGATTTTTAATTCAATTCACTTCCCTATGTCTTAACTCATCCTGCAAGGCCATTGCCCTGTTCCCCAAACAGAAAAAGACTTTTCCAGAAAACTACAATATTCATCAAGAACATAATAGAAAAATCTCATTTTTAAACATTATTTTGGCCACCAGGTGTAGTGGCACACACCTTTAATCCCAGCTCTTGGGAGACAGAGGCAGGTGAATCTCTGTGAGTTCCAGACCAGCCTGGTTTTCAGAGTGAGTTCCAGGACAGCCAGGCTACACAGAGAAACCCTGTCTCAAAACAAGACAACCCCCAAGACCCTCCAAAATAAAACAACAGTAAAAATTACTTTGGCCAGGTGTGATGAAGCATGTTTTTTTGTTTTTGTTTTTTTGAGACAGGATTTCTGTGTGTAGTTTTGGAGCCTGTCCTGGAACTCGCTCTGTAGACCAGGCTGGCCTCAAACTCACAGAGATCCGACTGTTTCTGCCTCCGGAGTGCTGGCATTAAAAGCGTGCATCACCACCACCATCTGCCAATACATGATTATTAATTCCAGCATTTGGGAGGCAGAGGCAGGCAGATCACCGAGAGTTCCAGGTCAGCTGGGCTATACAGTAAGACTCCACCTTTAAAAAAACTGTCATGAAGGCTTTTTAAAAATATATTTGTGTGTGTGTGTGTGTGTGTGTGTGTGTGTGAATGAGTGCAAGTGTTTTTGGAGACCAGAAAAGAGCATGGGATCCTCTGGAGCTGGAGATACAGGCAGTTGGGAACTGTCCAGTGTTTGTGTTGGGAAGCAACTCAGGTCCCCTGGGAGAGCAGGAATTGCTAACCACTGAGCCATCTCTCCAGCACAGATGCAAAGATTTTTGACAACATATTACTAAAGTGAAGTCGACAATATATAAGAAGAATTGTACTTACCAAACACAAGATAAATATAGTAATATACTTAAATTTAGCAGGGCCTGGTGGCTCTTGCCTTTTTAATCCCAGCACTCTCAAGGCAGAGGCAGTCAGATCTCTGAGTTTGAGGCCAACTTGGTTTACATAGCAAGTTTCAGGGCAGCCAGTTCTACGACTGTGTCAAAACAAACAAACAAAAGCCCAAAACCTTTGACTCTGCCAACAGAGTGAAGAAAGTAAGACAATTACAGACACAAAAGAACAAACAACCTCTAAAACTCAACAATGAGAAAATGAGCTACCCAATTAAAATGGGCAAAAGATACAGACAGACTCTTTGACAAATCAAAGACATACACATCTCAAATCACTAGAGAACTGAACAGTAAAATGAGTCACCAGTATGGATCTATGAGAACACACACCAGGACCACCGAACGATGAAGACGAGGAACATTGTGTGGGAGCTGCAAAGTGGTGAGTTACTCTGGAAGCCCCTTGGGCTATTTCAAACAGATCTGACCCCGTCTTGATGTTTTGGTTGTGAGCCCAGCCAGGTGGTAGATGAACCACCTTCCTAGCTTATGAACACACCTTTATACTAAGCAGCAACTATGGTCCTTGGCATTTATCCAGATGATTTTAATACACAGAATTTACACACTGCTACTTATTGCAACTTCCTAACTGCCTAAACCTGGGATCCACCAAGATATGTTTTGGTAGGTGGGTGGAAAAACCAACTGGTCCATCTAGATAACGGAATATCACTGAGTGCGGAAAGGAAATGAGCTGTCAAGGCGTGAAAAGACATGGAGGGAAGTTAATTGCTTACTGAGGCTCAGTTCCAGTTAATTCTGGGAAACGCAGAAGGGAACAGTAACAGCCAGTGGGCACCTGCAGGTGAGGGACCATGAGAGGGTGGACGCAGAGGATATTTAGGGCGGGCAAACTATTTTGTATGACACTACAAGGAGACAAATGTCATACATTTGTCACAGGACGTACACCAAGAGGGAGTGAGCCCAAATGTCTCCATGGGCTTTTGGGTGAGCCAGTGTGGGTCTGGGTAGCCCTGTATCTGCTTCGGGATGTCCCTGTGTTCCAGGCTATAGGGACTGTGTGTTCCAGGAACACACAGGAACCGTGCTTGCCACTTGCTTAGTGCACCTGAAGCCACTCTGATTCAGCAATCTCTTTCCCCCTTTTTGGACAGGGTATAATGTACCATGGCCCAGGCTGCCTTTAATTTTACTGTTTAGCTGAGAATGACTTGTTTTGTTTTTTGAAACAGGGTTTCTTTGTATAGCCTTGACTGTCCTGGAACTCACTCTGTAGAACAGACTGTCCTCCAACTCACAGAGAGCCGCCTGCCTCTGCCTCCTGAGTGCTGGGACTGAAGGCGTGCGCCACCACTGCCCAGCTGTTTTTGTCTTTGAGACAGGTATATCCCTGGCTGGTCTGGAACTCGCTATGTACAACAGGCTGGCCTCAAACTCACAGAAATCCACCTGCCTCTGCCTTCCGAGTGCTGGGATTAAAAGTGTTACCGCCATATGTAGTGGAAGGATGACTTTTAATTTCTGATTCTTCTGCCTTCATCTCCTAAGTGCTGGGATGAGAGGTAGGTGCCATCACCTCTGGTTAAAAAATAGAATTTTTTATAGCAAAACAGTAAAATCTAAAAAGATAAATCCTAAGAGCCCAATGACACCCCAGCCAGATACTCACCTCTAGATTCCCACCCCTTTCCCTTTCCCACATCCCCATCCCTAGGCTCCCAGATCAGCCTCCGCCTAGGGTCCTGTTGGCCTTCTCCCTTGGCAGGGAGCCTGACAGGGCTGCGCATGATGGCATGCTCCTAGCACTCTGAAGACTGAGGCAGGCAGTTTTTTGAGTTCAAAGCCAGCCTGAGTTACACAGCTGTACCCTGTCTTAAAAGAAAAAGGAAGCCGTGTGGTGGCGCCCGCCTAGCACCCAGGAGACAGGCAAGAGGCAGTCAGGGCTACAAAATGAGACCTAGTCTTAGTAACAACAACAAAAGCTGGTGTGGCAGTGTAAGCATATCCCTGTAACCAAGGTAGAGAGACTGTCACAACTTTGAAGCTAGCTTGGGCTACACAGAGAGGTGTCCGCCCCTCCCCCCACCTCTCTCTCATACACACACAGCCCTCTATGGATCAAGCTGGCCCCTTCTCTTTCTCTAGGCCCAAATTCCCTTCCCCACTTCACAGCCTCCTGCCCTTTGTCAAAAGCAGAAGCTGTCTCATAACTTCTGGGCCTCTGAGTGGATGTGTGCCTCTGTGAGTATTTTACCCCTGTGGCTGGTCCCCAGGCATGTGTGTGCCCTGTCCCTGTGTTTCCTGTCTGTGGGCAAGCTGTCTTATGCAAGTGTCAGGCTGGTAATGTTGGGGGACCCCTCTGGGTTGCCATGTTAGGTATGTCACCACACATGGTGACATTTGGAGTTACTTCTGTCAACATCAGCTCCTCCCTCCTTCAAGCCTTCACACAGTGTCCTCCCTAGGCCTCCCCACTGGCTACAGGAAGACTTCCCTTTGGACTAACTTTCTTGTTCAGTCAGACCCACCTCCAGGGAGGCCCTATCTCTCACATCCTCATGCCCATATGTCCCTAGACTTAGGCCTAAAAAAAGCCTGGGAGGAGCTTTGAGGCGCCCTAGGGGTCTGGTAGATGGCAATAAAAGGGAACCACTTTGGGGAGTAGGCAAACCCTAGACAGCTGGCCAGAACTCAGGGGACAGACAGGTGGGCTCAAGGGAAACTCCAAAATGGAGGTGTCATCCCTAAAAAATTGCTTCCAGAATATAGCAGCCAGGTGTACTCAGTGGTAAGGAGTCACTAGGTCTCTAAAATCTGAGCCAGAGCCCAAGCAGGATAGTACATACTTGTAACGTCACTCAAGAGGCTGAGGTGCGCAGATCAAGGGTTTGAGGCCAGTCTGGGCTACAGAAGGAGACCCTATCTAAAAAATCCAAGGGCTGAGGATATAGCCCAGTAGTAAAACACTGGCCTAAATATGTTCAGGTCCCTGGGTTCGATCCCAGCACCTTAAAAAAAGTCTTCACCAGGGCCAGCACTGGAGGCTTTACTGTTTCTGTCTAGTTATTTCTCTGGGGGTGAGGGGGATGACAACTTAAAATGGATTTTCAGCAATAATGGATTCCCTTTCTTGGTTCCCGGCACCGAGCTGCAACACAAAAGAGACAGTGTCACTAGGGCCTTAGGGTGGGGGGTCTCCCACTGCATCTGTGGGGCAGCTGGTGTTCTGTTCTGTGTCTACATGTCATCAGGGGCCAAGGGCTCTGAAGCCCAGTTCCCTTATGCTCATTCATGCAAGTGTCCTGTGCCCTAGGAATGTAGCCATTCTGCTCTCAAGAGCAGACAGCATGCTTCCTGATGCCACATGGCCCTGCCCATTTTAAACCCAGGTTTCTGTCCTAGCCCTGGAGAGCTCACCCTCCATGGTCCCCAGGCCTCCTCCGGCTCTGGCTTTGCTACTGTGCCTCAGGTCACCGGAATCTTGTTCCTAGCAGCCTTTATGAGGTCATTAAGGCTGGGCCCTCAACTAAGCTTCAGCCCCTCCCCCTCCATTCCACTGTTTCACACCCCACCTGGCTATGTGAGAACTGAGCCCATCTCCACATTCTAGGGAATGGCTGCAGGGCAAGAATCACTCACTCTTCTTTGGCTCCCTGAAGCTGAGGGGACATGGTTGGTGCCTGGACAAACTTCACTTCCCCTTGGATGGTGGCGTTCTTGAGCCCTGTCTTACTAAAATCTAGGTAAGAGCAAGCTACGTTCTTGGTTTCTTGAGTCCAAGATTTTTGAGTTGTCATGTCTTCAGGAGGTTTCTCATGCTTCTCCGAGGATATCTGGGTAATCTGGGTAGCCTGGGCAAACTTGATGGACTGGCCTGGCTGGCAAAGCTCTACAGCTGTCTCCTGGGACTTCTCAGATGTACCTTTGATTAAATTTTCTAAACTAGGCAAGTTCATGTTGCTGGAGGAGGCTACAGCCAGGGAAGAGGCGAAGTTGATCAGATCTGCCAGGCCAATGGCTGTGGGCAGGCTGGTGCAAGATATTCGGGGGCTGGATGGTAGTGGGGCACAGTCTGTGAGGACCTGGGAAATGGAGACACACTTCTTTTCCCGGGAGCCCTTGGGATGTTTCTCCAAGGCCCGCTGGAGGCTGTGCTCCGACGCCTGGATGAGCTTGTTGGACCAGAAGAGGTGTTTGGAGGTCTGCACAGGGATGGAGCGGAACTGGGTGGTGGCACCCACGTGTTCCTCTTCCTGGTTGCTTGAGTTTGCGTTGAAGCTCCAGGGCCTGGATGACAGCTCTTCATCATAGGATTCGATCCTGTAGCCCTGCTGCTCCGAACTTTCGATGAAGCCGTCCCCTTTAGCCTCTGGTGGGGGTTTAGAGGGCACCACCACTGGCTCCATCTCCTCCAGCTGTGGCACTGGGCCTAGGTCCGGCTGCACGTTGGGGAGGGGTTCCAGCTTGGGCAATTCCGCTTCAGGCTGAAAGGTTTCAAATGAAAGCTGAGGTGACAGGAGCTGGACACCCCCTTCCCGCCAGGACTTCCCTGACACACCGTGTGGCATACTACCCACCCCTTATCTCAGAGACCTGTCTGGGGCAGAGAAGGAAGTGCAGGCAGGTAGTGAAGGTGTGTTTGTGTGTGTGGGGGGCCTGGTTCTACAGTTCCAGGATTGCCGAGCATAAGGACCCTACCCTCTAGCCTGCTACCGCTGTGTAAAGTGTGATGCTCTTACCTCTTTCTCTTCGTCCTCTTTGTCTTTATGGGCATGGGGCTGCTGGTAGTCATTCCTGAGGCATAAGGAATCCAAATGGGTGACAAAGATCCATGGGCAGGGTCATCAGAGGTAGCAGGGAGCGATCTCTAGGGCCCTCAGTTCTGGCCTTGTATGGGGGTGAGCAAGAAGGCCCAAGGTCTACTCCCCACTGTCCCTGTTCCATTAGGAGCTGTGTGTGTGTGTGTGTGTGTGTGTGTGTGTGTGTGTGTGCGGGCACACACACACACACACACACACACACATTCAAATGTGGGGTCTAGAGGCTGATTTTGCTTACATGTCTACCTTAGTTATTCTTCATCTCATGTTTTGGGGACAGGGTCTCTTCTCTCTGAACATGGAGCTCACTGATTTGCTAGAGTGGCTGGCTTCTGAGCCCCTGGGATCTTTCTGCTTCCATGTCCCAGCTCTGGGAGTACAGTGTTAGCATGGGATATCTGAACCAGGCCCCCATACTTGTGTGCTAAATAAACATTTTATTCCCCCCCCCCCCCGCAAGCTGGTTATGGTGTTTGTAAGACTCTCCAGGCTTCAGAAACTCTCCAGAGCTGGCCAGTCAACTTTTCAGCTCCATTTGGTTGGAGGAGTGGCCTGGGAATCTTCCTTTTTTTGGGGGGTGGGGGTGGGCGTGGTCTTGAGACAGGATTTCTCTGCATTGGCTGTCCTGGGACTCACTATGTATACTAGGTTGGCCTCGAACTCACAGAGATCCTCCTGTGGGATTAAATCCGAGCACTGAGAATAAAGGCTTGTGCCACCAACTCCCTGCTGGGAATCTTCATTTTTATTAAGTGCCACAGGTGAGCCATGGTACTCAGAAAATGTTTCCCTACACTGGGAGAGCCTAGAGTGAGGCCCATTACTCACCCGCCACATCCCCAGTGGGTAGATCTGAGAAGCCCTGGATAAAGGGGGACGTGCAGGGCCCCTTCGCTTCTCGGCCTTTACTTCTTGCTGCTCTACAACGGTAAACTCCTGTTGCCTCCCCCTCATGTGCCTGTCTTTCCCTACCTTGGACAGCTCTGTCCGCTCTACCCTAACCCTCCCCGAGGGTTGGAGGCTGAAGGCAGAGATGGGGCTGTAGGCAACCTCAGCCTTTGGCCAGTACACAACTTCTGAGATATGGGAAGGAGCTACAGAAGAGGTGGTATATGGTGTTGGGGAAAGGGCTGAGAGCCTGGGGCTTGGGGGGAAGGGCCTGTGCTGGTGGGGTGGGGGGTGCTGGTCCTCACGTTCTTTCCACGATGTCCACAGCATTCTTGCTACAGCAGGGGAATGCACTGGTACCTGGCCCAGAGAAGAAGGAAACGACAGGGAGCATCAGGGTGAGAGGCAGTACCTGAGCTGGTGCCAATTCCTTCTGGCCCCACCTCCAGCCCACCCGACAGCATCTCTCCTATCTTACTCTTCCCCTTGTCGCCTCCTTGCCAGGGTCAATAGTTCTGTGTTCCGTGTCTGCTACCCTCCACTTGCCATCTTGGCCCTGTCCCAGCTCTTGAACCTATCGCTTGCCTGCACAAGCATGGATGCTCACAGTACTCCATCTCGTCGTCTCCACGGCATCGGAGGGTGCTCGTTGCCTAGGCTTCGCATAGCTGGTGGTTGCTGAATCAAAGACTTGAAATCAGGCTGCAGAATTAGCTCCATTTTCTGCTCTGCCATCCTCCACAGGAGCCCATTGCACCCCGGAAGAACTTCCCCTCCCACTCTTCATTGTTGCTGCTCCCCAAGCTCTTTTTGGTTATCTATCACTGACCCCGACCAAGGCCTACACTTGGCGTGCTTGACCTGAGGTTGTGCCATCACCACAGTGCTATGTGGTGAATTTGAATCAATCCCCGGAAGCCCTAGGAGCATCTCGGAGCCAGGAGATAGCCAGGCAGCTTTTGTCTTCTAATACTGAAGCTGTCCTTCCCCGGAAGTGGGGCACCAGGCTGCCTGCTTTCCTGGTATCGATCAGCATTGATGTTGAGGGATCATAGCTTCCATGCATTATGCAAAGCAGATTCTCAGGAGCCTAGGGTGGAGCAGGAAATGTTAACCTTACTTTCTGGCTAAGAATTGCTCCCTAAATTGTATCAGAAGCATGCCAATGTGCTGTGGCTTCTTCCTAGGTATGGAAGGGGTGGTCCTTGCTTGGCTGGTCCTAGGCATTGAGATTTAGACACATCCGTGTTCCAGCCTGGCCTGGGGATGGTAGGTCAGCTGTGTAGTGAGGCTCTGAAACACCATGGACAGGAACTCAAAGGCCAGCCCTGCCTCCTTGATTCACAAGCTTCTCTGGCATTCTTCATACTCTTCTTCTTTAGCTTCAGCTCCATTTGACCCTGAGCAGGACTCTTTCCTGCCCAACCACAGAGCTTTCCTTGGTCGCTTTGCAATTTTTCTGGACATCTGATCATCACACAACTTCAGTCCTTCCATAAACTGCAACTAGGTATGGACAGAAGGACCAATTACAATTTTGTATGCCTCATAGCAGCATTGGGGGGCTGGGAGACAAAGTCTGATGTTGACTCAATTTGGGATTTCTGTGCCTGCCTTAGGAGTGTTCTGTTACAGTCAAGTGGCAGTCTGTGACAGATGAGGTATTTTCAATGTCCAGTTATTGCTAACATTCTAGAAATACTGTTTCGAGTCCTAAAGGTGCATCAGACACCTACTGGTGTTGACAGCGTTTAAAGAGACCCCACAGGATCTGTTCGTCAAAGAGTGTGTGTGTGAATCAAGACAACTTTGTTTCTCTCTTCCATGTCTTGTGCCTCTTCCTTTCTTCCCTTTTTGCACTGGGAATGATCACTACATAATTGTGGAGCGAGGGCAGACCCATGTTCTCGTGGGGAACATTCAGTATTCCATCTTTGTGATGTTCATGGTGGTTTTCTTCATATATATGCTTTTTTATCAGATTGAAATTTCCTTTCCTACTTTGCTCAGTTGATTTTGAGAAATATTTATCATCATCATCATCATCGTTTTAGGACAGGGTCTCACTATGTAGACCATGGCTGGCCTTGAACTTACAATTCCTTTCCTCTGTCTCCTGAATGCTGGGATTAAAGGCATCCATCACTACACCTGGCCTGCTATTAGCAGCAGCATCTTCTTCATCACTTTGAGACAGGTTCTCACTCTGTAGACCAGGCTGGCCTCAAACTCAAAGAGATCCTCCTGCCTCAGCCTCCTGAGTATCGGATTACAGGTATGTACCACTATGCCTGCTCAATGTTTTGAAATGTTATTTTTATTTTATGTGCGTTGGTGTGAAGGTGTCAGATTCCTGGGAACTGGAGTTACAGATAGTTTTGTGCTGCCATATGGGTGCTGGGAATTGAACCCGGGTCCTCTGGAAGAGCAGCCAGTGCTCTTAAGAGCTGAGTCATCTGTCCAGCATCCCTCAATTATTTTTTTTAAAAAGACTTTTAAAAGATCTTATTATTTTAATAATTATGTGTGTATATGCCACATGAGTGCAGATGCACTTAGAGGTCAGAGCTGCATGATTCCTGGGAGCTGCATGTATGTATAGGAGGTTGTAAGCCAACAGATGTGGGTGCTGGGAATTGAACCAGGGTCCTCTGCAAGAGCAGTATGTGCTCCTAACCACTGAGCAGTCTCCAGCCCCAGGCATTGGATCCACCTGGAAGTGGAGTTACATAAAGTTGTGAGTGGCCCAAAGTGAGTGCTGGGAATCAAACTGAGGTCTTCTACAAGAGACCAGTATGTGCTCTCAACTGTGGAGCCACCTCTCCAGCCCCCAGCTGTCACTTGAGACATGGTCTCTCTATGTGGCCTTCGCTGGCATGCAACTTTCTATGTAGATCAAGCTGGCCTTGAAATCAGATCCACCTGCCTCTACCTCTGAGTGCTGGGATTAAAGGTTGAGACAGGGTTTCTCTGTGTATCTCTGACTGTCTTGGAATTCACTCTGTAGACCAGGCTGGCTTCGAACTCAGAGATCCGCCTGCCTCTGCCTCCTGAGTGCTGGCATTAAAGGCGTGCACCACCACCGCCCAGTGTGAAGATCATTTTCAAAGAAGAATTTGTTTCTGCTGCAGAGTGGAATGTTCTACGAACGCCAGTTATCAGGTGGAGCCATTCAAGTCCTTGAAACCTACTGAAGTTGTGTCTTCTCGTCCTTTCTGTCCCCGAGAGGAGTGCTGAAGTCATCAACTATGATGGCGGCTTCCACTGCCCCTCCTTGCATCTTAAGTACACTTTAACGATTTCATACTTGTATCCAATGTATTTTGATTGTATTTACTCCCATCACACAATCTTGTCCTTCCCCGCCTAACTGAGGTACCTTTTACTTTCACATTTTCTTTTTCTCTCTCTGCATATTTATGTATGTATTGGTTTTTGGAGACAGGGTTTCTCTGTGTAGCCCTGGCTGTCCTGGAACTAGCTTTGTAGACCAGACTGGCCTTGAACTCACAGAGATCTGCCTGCCTCTACTTTCTGACTGGATTAAGGTGTATACACCATCATCTGGTTAAATACTTATTTTAAAAAATGATTTTTAAATTTTGTGTATGCATGAGTGAGTGTCTGTGTATAGGTATGTGCCTGTGAGTGCACATGCCAGTGGAGGCCAGAAGAGGGCACACTGGAGTCATTGGATTCACTGGAGCTGGACTTGTAGGTGGTTGTGTGCTTCCTGACCTACATGCTGGGATGTGAACCTGGGTCTTCCACAAGAGCAGCAAGTGCTCTTAACTGCAGGACTGCCTCTCTAGCCCCTCCCCTCCTTCTCTTTTCTGACTCTGACAGCATCAAATATACCCCGGTCTGGGTTCAAACTCCCTATGTGACCAAAGCTGTCCTTGAACTCCTGATCCTCTTGTTTCTGCCCTGAATGCTGGGACTATAGGCCACACTTGGACATTACACTAGTTTTTCTTCACATACTTTGAAGCTCTGATGTTAGGGACACATCCTTTAGGATAGTTATTTGTTCTTTTGTTTTGTAGCCCTGGGGATGGAACTCACAGCCTTGCAATATACTAGGCAAAATTTTTATTTTCTAGACCTTCATATTCCCTTTAAAATGATAATAGTATTGCTATGATTTTGGATATATATATATATATATATATATATATATAATATATATATATAATCTGATATGTATATATATATATATATGTATACACACAATTTATTAGTTATTTGTAGAGACAGGGTTTAATGCTTCTCTGGCTGGCTTTGAATGTGCTGTGTACTTAGGATGACCTGAAATTTCTGATCCCTCTGGTCCTATCTATCTAACAAGTTCCTGGGACACAGATAGGTGCTACCACACCTGGCTTAAGTGATAATGGGAATCAAATCCAAGCTTTTGTGCATGCTAGGCAAGGACTCAACCTACTGGGCTACACCCCAACCCCTGTTGGCATAGTTTCTTGAGACAAAGTCTTACTATGTAGCTTAGGCTAGCCCAGAAGTTACTATGTCACCCAGGTGGTCCTCAGATTTTCAACCTTCCTCTCTCTGCCTTGTGAGTACAGGGATTATAGATATACCCAATCATGCCTGGCTTTACTCTTCCTTTTTTTTTTTAAGCATTTCCTTTTATAATTAAAACATTAACATGTATCTGTTAATTAGTATGTTCCATGTGTATACAAATGTGTGCACATATAAGGATGCCATAGGACAACTTGCAGGGATCGAACTCAGGTCATCAGGCTTGCTGGTGAGCACCTTTGCTTACTACTTTCCCTAACCCTTGATGCAATAACCTTTTTATCACTGTGAAATGATCTCCTTTTATCTCTGTCATTATTTGATTTGAAACCTGCTTTGATATTGATAAAGGTCTTTAGCTTTTTGTAATCTCACTTTTGTGATACTGGGGATTAGCGTTAGCATGAGCTATCACTTTACATTTAATTGTTGTATTTTTATATTTAAAGGGAATTTTAAACGGGCAGCATATAGTTGAGTCTTGTTTTTTCTTCTCTTTTTTCCTGGTGGTGTGGATTGAATCCAGAGCCTGTGCATCCCAGCAAGCACTACGTCAATACAGCTATATTCTCAGATCAAGTATCACTTTTCTTTTCTGTCTATTTAGGTAATCTCTGTTTAAAAGTGACTCTGTGTGTGTGTGGGGGGGTAGTGGGGGCAGTGCTGAGACTGAACCCAGGACAATGTTGTTGTCCATGCTTAACACTTGCTTTAGAAGGGAGCTATGTGACATCTGCCTTTTGTGTTTACATGGATTCTTTTGTTGTTTGTTTTCCATATGTCACTCTGCTTTTTTTTTAAAAATGCCCCCCCTTTAGATTATGTGTCCGTATGGTTCTATTGGATTTTCAAAACTATGACTCTGTCTTGTTATTTTAGTTGCTTTAAGGCTAAACTATGCAGCTTTAACTAATCACAAGTTTACCTTCAAATGGTAATAGGATAATATACCAATATACCAGTTAAAGAGAACGCTAAACATTGTGATGTCATTTCCTCCTTATGACCAGATGTTAGAAATGGATCTTAGAGATGAGAAAGAGTTGGGATAGTGCATCTTGGGAGCTTTTGGAAGACTCCACATGTAATTCAGAGAGAGAGAGACAGACAGACACACACACACAGATTATGAATATGAGTTTGTAATGATAACTGAGCCAGTGAACAGTGTTCCAGAGAGATCTTTATGCTTCTAGAGTGTGGAAGGCAGAAGACTAGGGATGCTGTCTAATGGAGAGGAGACAGAAGCTGAGGAGGAAGATCAAAGATCACACAAGTGGGGAGGGGAGCTCAGATTCCAGGAATGAAGGGAGGGAGTCTGGGCTTGAAGATGCTATTTCTCCACTGGGAAAAGCATCAGAAAGATGCTGACATCTCCACAAGTGTGTCTGGTTCCTCCCTTACCACCCTACAGTTGAAGGGGTCCCAATGAGCTTTTAAAATAGTATCTCTTTTTTTTTTTGTTATTTGTTTGCTGTATTTTTTTTTGTTTGTTTTTCGAGACCCAGTTTCTCTGTGTAACAGTCCTGGCTGTGCTGAAACTCACTCTGTAGACCAGGCTAGCCTTGAACTCACAGAGATCCACCTGTCTCTGCCTCCCTAGTGCTGGGATTAAAGGTGTTCGCCACCACTGCCTGACAAATGGTTTCATTCTTAAATAGGGGCAACCTAGGGCCACCAAATAGTTGACAAAACTGCTAATAAGCAGATGAAAAGGTGATCCCAGGACACCAAAGGTAATTTGAGAAAGAAGAGAACATAAGAGAAGCAGATCATTTTCAGAGATTCAAGGACAACACTAGAATATCACATAAAAAAGTAACAGGCTGCTATGAAAAAGAATTAAAGGAGAAAGTGGTGTTTGCAAATAGCACTGGGAAATAAGAGAGAGTATTTCCAGGAAGAGACATTTCCCAGATATCAAGCTTTAGTGAGAGAAGAGACACAATAGGGAGTTTGCTTTTTTTTTTCCATACGTGTCCATGTGTGTTCATGCATGTGCACATTCATGTGCGTGTATGTGGAGGCTAACGGGCGGCCTTGCATGTCCTTCCTCAGGTTCCTCCTGTCTACCTTCTTAGTGTTTTAGATTATAGGCTCTACCGCCATGTGTGTTTTACGTAGGTTCTGGGGACTGAACTCAGCTCCTCTTGCTTGCAATATACTAATAGCTATCTTTTCTCCACCCACATCTGTTTATGAAATCTAGAAGGGAGACCTAGAGAGAACAAAGGAGTTGGAGAAGAAAAAAGTAAAAATACCCTTTAGATGAAGGTCTCACGGGCTTGGAAAAGTTCTCTGAATACTGGACAGGTAGACAGCTGTGGAACAATCTCTACTGTTGCCATAGTTTATGTCAGGCACAACTGATTCACAAATTTGTTTTTCATTTTCGTGTGTGTGTGTGTGTGTGTGTGTGTGTGTGTGTGTGTGTGTGTGTATAAGCTGGAAGTTGACTTTAGGAATTGAGAATTATCCTTGGTGCTTCTCTGCCTGGTTCTTCCAGGCAGGGTCTCTCAATGAACCCGGAGCTTACAGACATGGTTAGGGGCCGGCTCTGCTCTGGTCATCTGCTGTCTGCACCTTTAGAGGCTGGGATTAAAGGCTGGACATCTCATCATCTCATCCACTTGGGATTTATGTGGGTTCTAGGGATCTGAACCCTGGTCCTCATGTTTGCACAGCCAGGATTTTAACCACCATGCTACCAACCTGTCCCACAAATTAAAGTTTCTCTTTCTCTCTCTCACCCCCCCCCCTCTCTCCCTATCTTTTTTTCAGAGTTTCTCTGTGCAGCCTTGGCCATCCTGGAATAGGCTGGCCTTGAACTCACAGAGATCATCTTTCCTGCACCTGTGCCTGGCTCACAAATTTTTAAAAGTGAAACCCCAGTAACTTATAAGAGGAAGAAACTCATACTGGCAGCAGAATCACTAATGGTTGGTTTTAAAATTCTGATTACTTTTAAACCTAGAATTTTATTATTATTATTAATTATTATTATTTATTACTATGATGAGAAAAGTTGGGGCTGCAGCTGCTCTGAGACATGCCTAGGGACCACTGTTTGTATTTTTAGTCAGCGAATACTCTGCAGTGCTCTTGAGTCAGGGGTATTTATTTCTTTGATAAAGTTGAAAAGGAAATGCTCACCCTCAGCTATTGGCCACTATTAGGGGCTGGGGATAGAGGTGGACAGGGAATAATTGTCCTGTACCACGGTGCTTTCAAGCTTGTGACCACATGTTTTTACCCGGAAGGGACCTTAAATCTCACCGTCTTTAAAACATCACGAACCGGCACTCGTCAGTGCTCCTGGCTACGCACTGTGATGACGCAAGGCATCAACAATTCTTGAGATGCCTTCTAGACATCACTGCTCTTCCGGTAGACCCTGGCCCACGGTTCGGAGCGCGTGGTCTCCTGCTGACCCTCCCCGGGCCCTCTGCGGGTTGGACTTTACTGGCTTTGGGTCTCTGGTCCTCCTCAGTATCTCACACAAGGTGGATTTGCAAAGACATTAAATCCCCAACCCTTAACTCTGTGTGCACTTGTACCCGTGAATGTGATCCCATTGGGCTAAATTCATTAAGACCGGGACCGATCTAGCCCCCCCCCCCACGCCTTTTTTTTTTTTTTTCACAGCACGTGGCTGCAGCAGTAATTAAAGGCACCCAGAGGGGCTTGGCTGGGGTCAGCTTCCTCTTCACTCCCCAGGCCAGCTCTGGGGCATCACCCAGCTTCCCTTTCTTCTGCCACCGCCCCGCCATTTCTGGCACCGCCCCCCACTCGCCGCCTGCGCCCACCTGTCACCCCCATGCTGACGGAGGCTCTGTCCAGGAGGCGGGGAGCGGGCTGATGGCTGCTGCCCCTCCACCTCCAGTGCGCTCTTTGGTTAACCGAGTGGAGGGGCGCTGGGGATGATGGGGGCGCTGGCGCCTGTGATGCCGCGGCTTCTGTGACGTTTGGGATCTGACTGGCAGGAAACTTGAAAGTTCATGCCAAGAATGTGGGTGGGAGCAGCTGAGGATCTTACAAGGCTTGGAGGTCCAGCAGCCAGGGTACCAAGACAAAAAGAGCTGGGGCAGCTGGCCACCCCGAAGCAGACCAGGTGTGTGGACAGCAGTCCTGGGTAAGGACGGGGCTCTGAACCTCATTTAACCACAAAGCCGCTGCATTTTTGAGGTTCTAAGATTCTTAGGGCGGCTGAATCTCAATCTAAGCAGTACACACACCCCCATGTTACAACTTTTTACAATCACACTTGTTATTTGTGTGTGTGAACACTTGCATACTATGGCCAGTGTGTATGGAGGTCAGAGGACAACTTTTGGGGATTGGTTGTCAGCTTCCACCATGTAATTCCTGAGGATCAAAATCAGAGGTTTGGTGTTAGGCCTCTTTACCCAGAATCATTTTTAGCTGGCTTTAATTGTCGCCCCATCCCTGCCCGCGGCCCCCAGCTGGTCATGGTAGCATAAACCTTTATTTAATTCCAGCACCTGGGAGGCGGAGGCAGCGGGTATCTCAGTGAGTTTGAGGACAGCCTGGTCCATATAATGAGTTCCAGGGCAGAGAGTGAACCCCTGTCTCAAATCTGTTTAAAAAATAGCTTTTCATTTTGAGACAAAGTCCCATGTTGCCCAGGCTGGCTTACAGGTGTGCATCAGCATAGTCAGCTCTTACTAGAGACTGGGGCTGGATCGGACAATGCACTTCTGTCTGTGATCTGCCTTCCACTCCATGAGCACTCCTGTGCTGGGAAAGTCATCACCATCCTGTGCCAATGTTCAAACTAATACCGGGCAAGTCCTCTGGCTGCCAGACCTCAGGGATAGGAGAGGGTGAGTAGTGGCGCTACCACATGCAAGCCCCTCCCCTTCTGGTGCTCCTGGGCTGCCTGACCCCTTCCCTTCCTCCCCTCAGCCCAGGAGAGAGATGGGCAAGCAGCCTACCTCAAGAGCTGATGCCAGTCCTTGCCTCCAACAAAATGGGAGGCGTGAAGGAATTTACCCCCAACAGCTGTCAGGGCTGTGGAGTAGAGGAAGCAGGCAGGCAAAAGACACACGGCTGTTTACAAACGCCCAGTCATTACCCCAAATTTTATTGCTTACAGAGCTCAGGCACACCCCAAATGCAACACGGTGTGGCTGTGGTTCATGTGCTGGGGCCAGAGACAACCTAGCTCATTGCAAATAGCTGGACAGAAGCTATCCTGGCTGATTGGGCCTGGGGTGTCAAGCTTCTCCAGAGGAGGGGGGGGTCTCTGTGCCCCTTCCCATAATGATTCACAGTTAACTTAATGCTACATTAGTCCTAAGCAGCTACTCCAAGCCCCACCAGGAAAAGCCTGACTAGGGCAACGTGGATGTATGCTCACCTAAAATCTGAAGGAGGCTTGAGGCTATCAAGGCTGTGTGTATGATGGGTGCAGACAGTCCCTTCCCATCCCCTGGCCTGCTTGTGCCCAGGCAGAGCCGATGCTCTGCTGGAAGGCACCAGAAAAGTGCTTTGGGGTACAAAGTGCTGCTGGCAGTGTCTTGCCACCATGAAGCTGGCACACTGGATATGACTATGTGTCTTGGCGGGCAAGAGAGCATCTTTGGCTCTCTTTGGAATCTGTTATTTGCTGACCAGCCTGTTCGCTATGACAGTGAGGTGCCAGTCTCGTGTCATCCTTCAGTTTCACAGATGAGGGACCAGAGTGCCAGCCAGCCAGAGGGCAGGCCTCAGTGAGGCTTGTGCTCTGAGGAGCGGTCTCCAGCAGCCACAAACTTGAGGCCTGAGAATCACTTCTCTTCAATACCTTCCATGGTCCTTGGTTGAACAAAGAGCTCAACTGAGGACCTGGGCTGCAATAACCTGAAGGTGTGCATCCTCCCAAGGTGCTAGCATCCTTCCTGCCTGCTCTACTCACACTAGTCAACGGCCAAGGAGGCCAGACAAGGGGTCAAAGGCTCCACAAGCCCCTGGGCAGGCATGCCTGCTGCCTTGCCCTGAATGAGTTGGGCAGGAACCCGGCTCTTCTGCCTGCCTAGGTACCTGCTCTTCTTGACCCAGGCTAGAGGCTGTACCCCAATTGCTGGCAAGTGCTGACTGATCTGTGTGGGCCTGGAGCATCAGGGAAATCACTGGCTCTCTTCCTGGGGGATGAGACCGACTTCCTCCTTGTCTCTTCACGAGGGCCAGCAGCACTCAGGAGGCAAATCCTGAGAGGTGCTTTACCTGCTCCCATTGCTGCTGCACGCCCTGGTCTTTACTGCCGAACCAGGGCCTGGCAGATCTCTCTGAGCAGACTCAGCCAGCATCTCAGGGCAGCATGGAGCACTGGGATACAAAGGGCTCTGCTGTGGGCAGAGTGGAGCTGGTGGTGGAAGACAGGGCTAGGGCCGGTTCTCCAGCTGGCCGTACTTGACCCTCCAGCTCCAGGCAAAGCTGCCATCAGGGGCCAGGGTGCACTGCAGGTCGATGCCTGAGTCTGGCACCTCCATGTCATAGCGAACAGGCTGTCCGTCTTTGGTCACCAAGCTGAAGGCTGTGGCTGGGATCTGGGGAGAGCAAAGCAGCAGGATGAGAGCCCAGCTAGAGCGTAAAGCTGATGGTCCCCAAACATGCTCAGGCATCTGCAGACACCCAGGCAACCTGGAGAGCGCTGCCTGTCCTTCACTCTGGAGGGGCTGGGGAGCCCTTCCTAGCCCAAGGGTGGGTCCAGAGATTCTCAGCAGCTCCTGCCTGTCTTGCCCTGGGATCTGGAGGACAGTCAAGCCAGGGGCCACTATCTTCCAGGGTGCCATTTCTACTCATTTGAAAGCCTTCCTACTGGAAAACTGTGTCCCTAAGCGTGACCCACATCCATACCTGGCTGCTGATGCCAGTTGCAATGTCTCCCACCTTGACCCGGTGGAATTCCCGGATGTGTAGGTGTTCACCATTGAGAGACTGTATTTGGACCTTGACACCTAGAAGGCAAAGGTGGACAGTGAGGGCAGAGCAGTGGTTGGTAACCCAGAGAGCAGGGACTCAGCATGGGCAGGGACAACCTCTGTGAAGCCACTCTGCCCTCATGGAGTGGAGCAGTCTGGCTGGGGTGAAGATACACAGAGGACATCTAGGTTAAGGGGCCCTACTGTTACACAGCTCTCCATGACCAGCAACACCTGGAATTTGGCCTGCACCTTGCTAAGAGCTGAGGTCAGCTCCCCGGGGGGAAGAAATAATCTACTCTGGATATACATACAGCAAAAAGGCAATGAAGACAAACAGCCCCCTCCCCCTGGCTGAGCTAATGGTTTATTGCTGGTCCATCTTCTCACTCTTCACAATCCATCTACATCCCCGCCCCTGCACCTGATTTTGTTTGTTTAGTTTTTCAAAACAAGGTTTCTCTATGTAACTCTGGTTGACCTGGAACTCACTCTGTAGACTAGGCTGGCCTGGAACTCACAGAGATCCACCTGGTTCTACCTCCCAAGTAGACTAGGCTGGCCTGGAACTCACAGAGATCCACCTGGTTCTACCTCCCAAGTATTGGGATTAAAGAACTTCCACGCCACCACCACCGAAGTATCTTCCCCCCCCACCTTTGTTCAGTCAGCTGAGGCGAATGTGATAACATGTAGCCATTTTAAAGTCTTCTACGAACCCAAATAGCACAGACTAATTTCCTCTGTTAGTACAACACACCCAGGGCTGGGGGTGTGCTCAGTGACCGGGCTCTTGCCCAGTATGCACAAAGGCCAGCCCTGGGTTCAATTCCCGGCAACACAAAAAGATGAGGCGATGGTATTAATCTTCCTAAAATGGCATTAGCTGAACCCCTCTGTAAAGCCCTCTATTTTATTTTGATTTTTTAGTTTTTCCAGGCAGGGTTTCTCTGTAGTTCTGGAGTCTGTCCTGGAACTTGCTCTGTAGCCCAGGCTGGCCTTAAACTCACAGAGATCTGTCTGTCTCTGCCTCCCGAGTGCTGGGACTAAGGGTGGCTAAGTCCTCTATTTTATGAGAAGTGCCAGGTGACTCTGTCATTTCAAAGTTCTTTTCAGTTAATGTACTCCTGAACTACTCTACATTTTTCTGTTAAAATAGTCAAACAATATACTGAATCATTTCCCAGAATCCATTTTAAAAACTCTAAGGAGAGGGGTACAGGTGTCTTATTTATTCATAGAGATAAGAAACCCTAATTGTTGATGCTTCTCTGGCAGTGTCCAGGATGTCAGATAACCACCGTACCACTGAGTATCCTCTAAGCCCTTGTGAGTCCCTTCATGAAAACTTCGGGCACAAGTAAATATTTTATTGATTTATTTATCTTTTTCGAGAGAGTAGCCCTGTCTATTTCTGTGTAGTCCTGGCTGTCCTGGACCTCACCCTGTAGACCAGGCTGGCCTCAAAGTCACAAAGATCCATTTGCCTCTGCCTCCAGAGTGCTGGCATTAAAGGCATGTGCCACCACACCTGGCAAATATATTTTTTTAAATAACAAGCCAATCCCAGAAAATTATTTTACTATAAAAGAGAGAAATCTAAAGATGTAGCAGACGAGCTAGGCTACCCATCTTGATTTGGTAAACATTTTACTTAAATAGTGCCACCCTAATCTTACACTATCATTTCTGATGAATTTTGAGCATTAGTTCCTTTGAGTCATATCGTTCCAATTTTAGTCCAGACAGGAAGAGAGCTCATCATGCTTCCATTCTCCTCAGCATTCTTAAATTAGAGGCAACGTGAGGGCGTCTGAGCTGAAGAGCCTTTGCCAAGGCTATGGGGCCTGGCAGTGAGTCACACTGGCCCCGGGGAGGGCTAGTACCTATGAACTGATAAAGCCCACCTCTAACATAGCTGTACAAACAAGCTTGACAGTGGGCATTTACATGTCTTCTCATCTTCTAACTTTAGATTCCCGGAGATGATGCCAACGACCTCGTTGCCTACTTCTTGACTAAACGCTCATGGGTATGTCCCTTCCTTTCCCTTAAGCAGGCATTTAGCTACTCAGCTTCTGGCCTCAGCCCGGGAGCAGTCATTTTCCTTCCCACACTGTTGGCCTTTTACAAGTCTACTGATAGCCAGTTCTCCACTCCTTATCCGGAAAGCTTTGTGGGTCTAAACCCAACTTTCCAGGGAAAGATGTGAGGCTGGGTGGCAGACAGCTTCCTCCCCAACCCTTCTGTGATGGGGAAAGGCCAATGAACTCTCCCTCCACGCCTCCCTGGTCCTTGGCAGGAGTGGATAAGGGGACCGTACCATTGAAGTAGTTTGGAGTGTCTGTGGGCCGCCCCCGGGCCAGCACCATGTTGCAGCTGGAACTTCCTGCCTCTGCCTGGCTGCTCCATGAGTGCACGCCGGAACTCAGGGTGTCTCGTGAGCTCTGAGAGGCCTTTGATGGGTTCTGAACACAAGAGAAGGCACAGACCCAGTCATGAGATCAGGAAATTGTTCCTGGCTTTGGGCCTGTGCTAGGGGCAGGACCTGCCTGTCCTAGCCGAAATGGGGAAGGTGCATTTCTGTGTGGGACCAAAACTACTCCCCACTTTCCCTACTAGTAAAGTCTTTCCTGACTCCCAGGTGTTGAAGGCATATTGTCTCAGTCCGGGGAACAAGGACCCCTCCAAGAAAGGGGGAGTGAGCTCATCATCCTCCCTCCACCTCCCATGTGTCCACACTCAGCTGTTCAGACGCTCACCTTTTCACTATCCTCTGACAATGACAGGCTGTCCACGCTGAGGCATGAGAGGATCTGTTCCTGTTCCTCCAGAGAAAATGGCTGCGACAGACTGTTGAGAAACAGTTCTGAAGGGGGAAAAGAGGAAGATGGCTGTGAAGAACTGGCGAAGTTGCTAGGTTCCCAGGGTTCCTCCTGCACAGCCTGCAGAAGCTGGCCTGCCAGGAATGTGGTGGAAGGCAGGAGAGGCTGGGAACAGTAACAACAGAAATCCTGTGTGTGTGTGTGTGTGTGTGTGTGCGCGTGCGCGTGCACATTTGCGTGTGTGTGCTCAAGCCTGTGTGTATGAATGTGTGTGCATGTGTGTATAGCCACAGCCAAGTGCCATACCTATCTCCAGCTGTTGCAGCTCCAGCTCTGGGAAGGTTGCCCTCCGGTCTGGGTAGCTGGGGCCCTTGGCAGGGGATGGCTCTAGGGAGGACAGAGGCAAGGGTTCCCATGTGCCAGACTCCTCCTTGCTCAGGTTCAGGGCTGGAACTCTGCTCTGTTCTGGTGGTTCTGGCGGTAGAGGAGGCCGAGGCTCAGAGGCCCCGTCAGCGCTGGCCTTGGCTGGTAGGTTCTCCCTCAGTGGGGTATGAAGGGTCTGGTGGCAGGTGGCTTGGTCTGGAGGTGGAGGTCTTGGTTCTTTATATTCTCCTTTCCAAGGGCTTTGCAGACCTCCCACTGTAAGAGAGAAGGCACCCAAGGTGAGGGGGGAATGTGAAGGCACGTAGACAGCAGCCCAGGCAAGAATGGCCCATCAATTAAAAAAATTAAACTGTGTGTGTGTGTGTGTGTGTGTGTATGTATGTATGTATGTATGTATGTATGTATGTATGTATGTATGTGTGGATTATATGAGTGCAGTGCACACAAAGGCCAGAAGAGGGCATCAGAGGCCCTGGAGCTGCAGTCACAGGTAGTTGCAAGGCCCTGGACATGGATGCTGGGAACTGAACTCAGGTCTTCTAGAAGAGCAACATGTACACTCAGCTTTCCAGTCCCACCTTTTACACCTTTTATTCTTTAATTACTGCTGGTTTCCTTCCTGTCTGCTGAACTACATTCTATTATGCTCCATATTTGACTCTCTTTCATTTGAGACAGAGCCTTGCTATGTAGCCCAGGCGGGCCTCTATCTCAAACTCTTGTCTTTTTCTCTTAAGTGCTATGATCATAGGTGTGCTGCATTCACATGCTTCAACCCATGTGTCAACTTTAACTGCATTCTTGTGTGTATTTTTTTTTTTTTTTTATTGAGACAAGGCCTCACTATGTAGCTCCGGCTTGCCTACAACTAGCTATGTAGACCAGGCTGGTCTTGTACTTGAACTTGAGACCCACCTGCCTCTGCCTCGCAAGTGCTGGGACTAAGGGTGTGCCACCACATTCAGCAGTTCCTTTTTATTGTTTTGTTATTGTTTTTTTTTAAAGATGTATCACTCTACCTCTGAGGTCTCAAAGTCCAACAACCCTCTTTGCCTCCACCTCCTAGGTGCTGGGATTCCAGGCCTGAGTCATCACGCCCAGCTTAAAATGTGTGTTGCTTTCAGCATCGATTTTTAAAACTTGCAGCAGAGCTCTTATGCTCCAGGCCTCCTCTTCAGGGTTCTGCTCTTCATTTAGCACTCATTGCCTACGGCTTTCAGATCAGCTCCTGATACTCTGAATTCTGAGTGCTTCTAAGTGCTGGGCACTGTCCCATGCCCCAGTCACCTGCCTTTCCTCTCTCCCTTGTGGGACTCTTAATCACACTCAACTCCCTGTAACGACAGGGCTGACGTGCAGCAGGAATGGAGGGGTTGGATCCTGGGTGTGCGAAGGTCTGCCTGAGTGCTAACAGGTACCCTCCCGCATGGCTGCAGCCCCGTCCATGCCCTCCCAATGCCCAGGAGTCCTGCTACCCTACAGTCCAACCAGCACTTGGTGCTACCAACTTTCTGGCTCTTTATAGCTGAGTGGCTACTGGGTGTGTGTGGTTTGAATTTGCACTAAGTCACCTCTGCGCATCATAGCCCTTCTTCCTCCGTCTCTCAAGCGTAGCATCAGTCCAAGCACAAGGACTTATTGCTTCAGCCTTGCCAGCACGGAGGGAAGACGGGAGACTGATGCTCTGAGGTGCCATTCCTCTCTGTTTTGATCATCTCCGGTTCTGACCTATTCTCTGCCCACCACTGTTGTCAGCCCAGGCCGATGGGACTCTTACCTTGCTGTAATGCCTGGCCCACCTTCCCCCGAAGCTCCATAGCAGATGCTCGGTGGCCTGGCTCTTTCCTCAGCCCCTCCTGGATGGCCTGGGCTGTGAGGGGTGCGCAGGAAGGTGGGATCTCCCTCACAGGTGGAGGCTCACTGGCGATCTAGAGACCAAAATGCAACATGAAGACCGCTAGCAGCCTTATTCTCTACTCTCCAGCAGTCCTATGGTAGAAGGGAGGGGGCTGGGCCTCAGTGGGGAAAGGCGCTCTAGGAAAGGAAAACATGTATCTAAATAGGGCAGGCCAGAGCCTGGCAACAAAACACCATATCTTTCAGGCCTAGTCCAAAGAAGTTCTGTGGAAGTAGCCCAGGGGAGAGGCAGAAGTCACCTCCCGTTACTCATTTCTGCCAAGGAAGAACAACCTGCACCAGCCTGTGGCCTGGACCCACAGCCCTGCAGGTCTCGGCCCACAGCTGTTTCGGGGCCACCACTGACCTTGAGACAGAGTGGGCCTCGGAAGTACTGAGTCCAGGGGTGGCAGCCATTGAGCATGTGCAGCATCATGCAACAGCTGCTCCAGATGTCCACCTTGGCATCACAGGGCTTCCCCATCACCACTTCTGGGGCCATGTGGGTCTCTGTACCAGGAATGTAGTCCCCTGCGGAAGCAGCAGCAGGGACAGAGTCACCGCGTATGAATTCAATGCTCATAGTACTTAACTCCTGGGTTACCCCAGGTGAAGTGCTTTAAATGAAAAGCAATTGCATTATTATTGTGGGACCTGTGAGGTCAGAGAACAACCTCGTGGAGTTGCTTCTCTCCTTCCACCTCTACATAGGTTCTGGGGATCAGACTCAGGTCACCAGACTTGCAGCAAGCATCTTTACCTGCTGAGCCATCTCACCGGACCACGGTTTTGCTTTGCTATGTTTAAGACAAAGGGTTTCTACATAGTCCTGGAACTCACTCTGTAGACCAGGCCGGCCTTGGACTCAAAGAGATCCTCCTGCCTCTGCCTTCCAAGTGCTGGGCCCCACTATGCCCCGCTATTTTTATTTTTTGAAAGAGTCTCATTCTATAGCTCAGGATGGTCTTGAACTCACAGCAGTCCTTTACTTCAGCCTCCCAAGTGTTAGGATTTCAGGCATGAGCCACTGTGTTTACCTTGGCTGCATTTTTTTTCCATATAATTAATGGTTTAGGAATGTCACAGCAATTACACACATACAAACATAAAATAAAAACCACAAATCAAAACAAACATGCTAAATAAACAAAACTCCAAACCACTCCATATCGAAACTCAGGAAATTCATATGTACAAAAGCATATAATATTAAACAGGCAGATAACAGCCAGCATATATAATTAAGTGGATGTCAACTTTTTTTCCTTCCAATTTTTGAGATTGAACCCAGGGCCTTATGCATGTTTGGCGAGCACTTTACAACTGAGTGATAGCCTAGCCCTCTTTTCACTATTTTGAGACAGTTCTCAAAGCTGGCCTTGAACTTGCAATTCTCCTGCCTCAGCCTCCCAGGAGCTGGGATTACAGGCTTGGCTGTTTTATCATTATTATTATTTTAGACAGGATCTCACTCTGCGGTCATGGCTATTCTGGAACTCACTTTGTAGACCAGGCTGTGACTCTGAACTCAGAGATCTGCCTGCTTCTGCCTCTCAAGTGCTGGGATTAAAAGTATGTGCTGCCATATTTGTATCCTGGTACTTTGAACTTGACATTTTTGCTCAGTATTCTTAAAAAAAAAAATAGCAGAAAGGGTATTTTTGTAATGAATTATCAAAAGAATCACCTAATATTTTAAAGTATATGTTTAATTTAGGCCATAAGATTCACCCACACAGTCCTTTAACACTACACTACCCATGTCCTTATCCAAAACAAGAGGGCAGAGGTATTTTGGTTTTCATTTTTTAAATCTAGGAATATTTCCAACATACAAGAAGAATGCAGTCTTGGAGATGGGACCTGAGCCTGTGTATGATGACGCTGTGGGCTATAGGCCATCTCCACACGACACTGTCAGTGAGCCTGAGTCTGCCTACCACCGAAAGCTGTGGCTTCAGAGTAGCTTTGGACAGGGATACTCAGACTTCTAATAGGTTATATCCCTTAGATCAAAACTCAGACAGCTAAGAGCACACTAGTTGCTCTTCCAGAGGACCAAGTTCTGTTCCCAGGACCCACGTCTTACAACATCGTGCATACGCATAGTGGAGTTTTACAGAGCCAGAATGAAGAAATATTGGCAGGAAAATGTATGGAACTGGAGAGTGAGTGTCATGTTAAGCAAAATAAGTCAGACTCAAGAAGATGAGAATCACATGTTTACATCACATGCAGACTACACACACACACACACACAGGCAGGGTTTCATAAGCTCAAGATTGCCAGACCTTGACATGTAGCAGTGGATGAGTTTGAACTTCTGACCCTACTGCCTCCACCTGGCTTTATAGTGCTCTGGGATTACAGATGCGTACCATCATGCCCGGTTTACAGAGTGGTGGGGAGCCAAGACTTCACGCACGCTAGATGAGCACTCTACCAACTATGCTATATCCCAGCCTTGCCACCTAGATTTAAATATAAATAACTGTGCTTGTGACATGAAAACAGGAGCAGCACTTGAGCTGGGTGTGGGAGAGCACGCCTTTAATCCCAGCACTTGGGAGGCAGAGGCTGGAGGGTGTCTCAAGTTTGAGACTAACCTGGTCTACATAGAGAGTTCCGGAGGACATCGTGTAACCTTTTTTCAAAAAACAAAGTGTGGCTGGAAGAGGGCAGCTACTAATGAAAGGGGAGGAAGAAGCCCAAAGGGAGCACGGAGGGGGGAACATGGAGTGTAATGATAAAATGAGACGTATTTTCTTTCATATACAGGATCTACATTTAACTATGCACATAGGCACATATATAAGTGACAGGAAAGAAGGGAGGCGCTGGAGAGATGGCTCTAGTTAAGAGGGTCCAAAAGACCCAGGTTCAATCCCCAGCACCCACATGGTGGCTCACATTCCAGTCTCTGTGGATTGGATGTCCTCTTCTGGCCTCCATGGACATCAAGCACACATCTGATGCAAAGACATACATGCAGGCAAAAGATATGTATTAAAAAAAACAGGCAGAGGGAGACTGGGGGCAGGTAGGGGACCAGTGAGAAGATTGGGAGTACAAATAAGAGCAAGGTGAAATCTCTCTCTCTCTCTCTCTCTCTCACACACACACACACATGTACATACACGGAAATGTCATAATCATATGTCAACATACCAGATAAAAAGGCAGAGCACAGGCCTGTAACCCTAACATTCAGTAGGCCGAGGCAGAAGGACTGTGCATTTGAGTTGAGGCAGCCTGGACCACACAGTGAGACCATGTTTCAAAACAAAAGCAAGGCAAAACTCGACAATAAACACATACACTGAAAGCAAGTAAAAAATACAGATCTTAGCTGGGCATGGTGGCACAAGCCTCAGGAGGCAGAGGCAGGCAGGTCTCTGTGAATTTGAGGTCTGCATATTGAGTTCTAGGCCATTCAGGACTACAAAGCCTGGTCCTTTCAGGCCTTGCTGTGTAAAGTCACATGGTCAAAGAGCATCTGACATCTGCTACTGTATTTATGCACAGCCTGAATCCTGCTAACCCAGGGTGGTTGTGGGGCTGAATTCTACTTGGGGACCTAAGGTGACCACAGTGTTTAACCCCACAGGGAAAGCACAGTGGTACAAGGCTAATGTTGAGCAATGGCTACTGGCTATTGTGATCATGAGGTAGAGAATGGGGCCTTACCCGTGAGCAAGGACTTTCCTAGGCCATCAGGTTGTAGGCACAAGGCATGGCCAAAGTCGCAGAGGGCAGCTCGGCTCCCATCGCTGGACAGGAGCACGTTGTCAGCTGTCGGCAGCGCCCAGCAAAAGAGAAGGGGAATGGCAAGTCACTTCAGGCTCCAGGCCCCAGCCCACCCTGGCCTGGCTTGACCTGGCCTCTCGTCAGGCAATTTTCAGGCCAGTCCCATGGCAGCTGCTGCTTCTCATTAGTCTAGTTAGTCATGGAAAATGGGGGTAGAGGGTTGTCAGTTGAGGTTAGAGCAGGCAGCAGGCAGGATCTGGAGTGGGAGCTGCTGCGATAGGCCCCCCGCCCCCCGCCCCCAGGTCATCAGTGAGCAGGAGTTTGGTCTTCAGTCCTCCGTGAACAACCCTGGGGGCTACAGTGCTAGACCGAGGGCCTGGAGAACATCATTCCCTCCCGACTCAGCACAGCCCTGTCAGATGACTCAGGCGTCTACTCTGAAGACAGGCAGGCAGGCCCACAGCTGGGAGGGCATCAGGTAGGAAAGCAAGAAGAGCCTTCTGGGACCAGGACCATGGTGACTAGGGCCTTACCTTTGACATCACCATGCAGAATCCTTCGTATATGGAGGTATTCCAGCCCCTCCAGAGCCTGGCCCAAGTAGTACAGGGCTCGGTCTTCCGGCAGACAGCCCTTCTGCTTTATGAGCTGGCCTAGTGAGCCACCTAGGAAACCAACAGCCGGTCTTTATGTGAGGCTTTCCCAGGCCTTCACACAAGCAAAGGGCAAGAGCCAAGGGCAGGAGGTATTCGAGAGCAGGGTGTCACAGAGCAGGGTGTCACAGGGCTAGAAGGTACAATGTGGACTGATTAGAGACCAAGGTCAAAGTTGGGGTTAACTCTTGGCCTTGAATTTTGAGAGAAAAATAGGACCCATTACCTTCTAGCAGCTCCATGAAGATGTTGACCCAAGGGCCTTCTCGCACAGCTCCATAGAGAGGGACAATTCTGGGCGAGGTCAGTCCAGCACAGGCCATCAGCTCCTCTGCCCGAAACACCTCGAGCCGTACCTGAAAGAGGACCAGGGGTCAGGGTGAGGGGTCAGGCTGGGGTCTACATCCTGCTGGTACTTTTGGTATTCTATGCTTCGAGGCTAGTGATGCTCCTGGTAGTGATGTCCAGCCCAAGTGGGACCAGGTGGGCCTGCCAGGCCCTCAGGGACTAAGCTGTCTACCCATGTATAAACCCCCTAGTGTCAGATACCAGCTCCATAGTGTTGACTATAAACAATAGTCACACAAAAGCAAATTCTCCCAGGTTCCTGGAAAGCTGTCCACCCTCAGTCTGCCAACCCCCTCCCCCAACTGGAAAGTGTCTAGGCCATGAAGCCTTGTTAATTCTCACACCCCACCCTCTGGCCCTGACAGGGCTTCATTATGTATCCTAGGTTGGCTTTGAACTTGCAATCCTGCCTCAGTATACCAAGGGCTAGGGTCATAAGTGTGTGCCACCATGCTTGACTCTGTGAAGAATTGCTGGATCAGTGGTTCTCAACATGTGGGTCTCTACCTCCTGGGGGCTGAACGACCCTTTCATGGGGGGGGAGGGGGCTAAGACCATGTGCATATCAGATATTTACGATTCGTAGCAAAATTAGAGTTATGAAGTAGCAATGAAATAATTTTATGGTTGGGGTCACAACATATGGAACTGTATTAAAGATCACAGCATTAGGAAGGCTGAGAACCTTCACACTGGACCCTCATAGCAATTTTGCTTTGAAAGAATAATTTAATTTTATGTGTGTGTCCCTGTACCCAACAGCATGTACCTGTCCTACATGTGTTTGGGAGCCTGGGGGAGCAGAAGGAGATGCCAGATACCCTAGAACTGGAGATACAGGAGGTTGTGAGCTGCCATGTGGGTTCTTGGAGCCAAACTCAGGTCCTCTGGAAGGGCAGCCAATGCCCTTCACTGCTAAGCCCCCTCTCTGGACCCCCTTGCAACAATTTTATGATAATTAGTTGCTTTTATTTTTTTAACATGTGTGTACGGTCTATGTATGTTTGTGAAGGTGTGATGCTGGGTGTCTACCTCCATGGATTTTTATTTTATTGAGGCAAGGTCTCTGCTGAACCTGGAGCTCATTAATTCTGGCTAGTGCAGCTGCCCAGCTTGTCTTGGGAACTCTTGTCTCTGTCTCCGAGTTCTGGGATTACAGGCGATACTATGCCTGTCTGTCTTTTATGAGGGTTCTGGGGATGTGAACCCCTGTTCTCATGATGCATTTCATCCACTGAACTATCTCCCTAGCCCCAGTTATTTATTTCCCAAAGGACTAGACTAAACTAGCCACATAGACAGGCCTCTGTTTCTATTACTGTTTACTCTATAGCTGTTTCCTAGTATCTGAGTGTACAGAAGGTTTCTAAGGAGGGGCTGGCCAACGCCCCTCCTACTGTGATGTGGAAGTCTAGGGTCACCCCCTCCTATCCATGGGGACCAGCACGGCATGGCAGGAAGCAGTAGGCCAGACACAAACATCTGCACTTAGATTTTGGTTAGGCCATTCACAAAAATGTGGCTTGCTTCCATCAACGGAGTCTCAGTGTGAATGGTGGGGACAGGGCTGCCTGCTCCAGGGTGATGTGAGCAATCAGAGAGGTGGGGGTTGTCACTCTGTCTGCCCACGTTGATTGTCCATGCTTGGTGACACGGGGCAGAGCTGGCTCCCCACTTCTGTTAATCCAAAGAGAACAACTTACTAAACTCTTCCCATAGCGAACCTGCTGGCTGCTGCCGGTCCTCTGCAGTGACACCGCCAGGGGGCGACAATCGGCAGCACACTAGCTTGGGCGGCTTTTGTTTCCAGACTTGCTGAGGGAGCTTTGCCCATGTTGGGTTTTTGGACTTCTGCCTATCAATGGGAAATGTCTCTCTTCTGACTACTTAAAGAATACCAAGTTTGGTTAATCAGCTCACATTAACTTTGGCTTTTGATCCATGTTTCCTCTAAAAGGCTGGTGAACTTGACTGAAACTACTTCACCTATGATTTTCAATTACAATCACATCCCAATCACATCCAAAATATGCAGCGAAGCACTCTAGGGCTCCCTAGAGAGCCTAGAAAGGTACTACAGGCTTCCACACCAAAGGACACAAGAAAACTCAATACCCGTGGGGCTCCTTGTTGGGATGGCTCAGGTCCCACATTGACCACACTGACCACACTCCTTTTGCTATTAAATCCTCACAAGTGAGGCATTTGATGCCTGTGACTTTAGGGGAGGGTGGGATGCGGAAAAGGAAATGAAGTTGGGTCTGTCCACTTTGATGTTTGAGTGCTCAAGAAGACCCACTGTACCAACAGTAACTCAGAGGGAGGCTGGGTGTGGCTGCGGTGGCTCCCAAGTTTGAGGCCAGACTCAGCTATGTAAAAGTTTAGGACAACTTGGGCTACTTGGTCTCAACAAATACCACCACCTCCCTCTTCCCCCCCAAAAAAACCCTACATTTATTTCTTCCAACTCACATGACTTGTTTTTCAATGGATGATTAGTTTTAGGATATACCCAACCATTTAATAAATGTAAACACACCAAATAAAAATCAGTAAGTGGCACATGTCAAACAGCCTGTACCTCCAAGAACAGGACTGAAGAGGAGGCCTAGGTACCGTGAAGATCTGACCGGGACGCTAAGGATGGTGACGCAGGCTGGTGAGGGACCCTAACTCACTCTCTAGAGCAGTGGTTGTCAACCTTCCTAATGCTGCACTGCCCCTTAATACAGTCCTAATGTTGTGCTGACCCCAACCATAAAATTGTTTCCATTGCTACTTCGTAACTATAGTTCTTGCTACTGTTATGAATCACAATGTAAATATCTGATACTCAGATGGTCTTAGGTGACCCCTGTGCAAGGGTCATTCATCCCCCAAAAGGGACTGCCACCCACAGGTTAAGAAGCACCGCTCTACAGGGGCCCAGCAATGCTGAATCATTTCCAACACAGACCGAACAAAGCTGGTGGGATGGGAAGTCTTAAAAAACATGGTGACTTTACAGTTTGGGTGAGCCTGAAGAAGCAAGGTAAAAGGGCCATCCCATGAAGTCGGGTGGGGGGGAACCTACCCCCCATGTCCAGACACCGCCCAAAACACCTCTCCACTCTTAACCTCAGGGCTCTCGTGCTCAGGGAGAGTGCTGGCCTGTGGTGGGATGTGAGAACTACATTTAAGATCCACGAACAGAGCAGCATTGTTCAGCACTGAGAGTTTCTTACACAACAGTCTGTGAAGGGTTAAGTCATCAGCCCCATTTCACTGATGTGGAAGAGGAGGCTAGCACAAAGAACTCATCCAAAGTCAACTGAGAGCAGGGTCCACAGGAAGATTTTGGTTGGGGAGGCCTGACCCTAGGGCTGCCAGCGGCTGTATGGCTGGGAGAACTTTCCAGGCTCAGCCTTGGTTCCTGGACATATTTACATGTACTCAGAAGCAGCATCTCCAGGGAGACACGCAGCCAGCACTGATGAAACCCCCCCCACACACACCAAGTGACAAGCCCTCCACTTCCCTCCACTTCAGTGCCGGGGTGCCTGAGCCTGGCGACTCTTCCCTCCTTGAAACTCCTTATTTTCTTCAGCTTACTGAATGTTTTCCTGCCAGTAAAAAGGCAGTACAAGGAACTCCACCAGTTCTGAAGATCTCAGCGACATCAACTATGGGAAAGTGACTAACACAGGACAGGACACAAAGCTGCCTATGAAACCAGCGGTCCCCATTTCATCCTCCTCCTCCAGCCCCTCGTTGCTCACTGCTGCTTCAACAGTACACCCACATAAAGGCCTGGGTTGTTTAAAACAAAAACAAAAAACCCTCTAGCTTTGGGCTGGAAAGATGGCTCAGCAGGTGAGAATGCCAGCAGAGCAAGCCTGGTAATCTTGATCTCTGAAACCCACATGAAAAGCCAAGGTGGAATTGCACATCTGTGATCCCAGCACTCCTTCAGTGAGAAGGGAGAGCTGGCTAGAAGATGGAGGCTGAGAATAAAGCTAGCTCACTGGAACACACTTGGCTAGCAAGTGTGAGGCCCTGGTTCAATCTTGACAACACACACACACACACACACACACACACACACCACACATACATACCACACACACAAACATACCACACACATACACCACATACACACACACACACCACACATACATACCACATACACATAAACACACATACACCACATACACACACACACCACATTCCTCACACGTAAACACACATACCATACACGTACACACACCACACACACACACACACACACACACACACACACACACACATACACCAGAAGTTGTCTTCTGACCTGCACACATGCTGTGGCACACTCACACATAGGTGACCCTTGGACTCCGCAGTCTGCCCCAGTCTCTGCACAGTGTGTGGTACAGAGCAGGTGCCCCATGACAGCTGCTTTGACTTGGCCAATGCCACACTATTCCAGTTCAGTGACAGAGCCAAAGGGAGGCTCCCAGAATTCTATGGCTGGGCCAGATGTCTTAAAACAAACAGTCCTTCACCTTTGTTGAGGGCAGATGGCAATCTGCTGAGTGGCACGGTCCCTTTGCCATCAAACTGACCATGCTCTCACAGTCTGGATCAAGTTCCAAGAATTTTAAGTATCTTATAAGTCCATCCTCTGGCAGGGAGAACTTATATATCGGTGGCGTCTTAAGAAGTCTGACCATGAATGAACCAAGGAGAAATCCTGCCTAGGATGTATTCCAACGGGAGGGGGAAAGGGTCAGTGTAGAATAACCTCTAGGATTGGATCTCATTTTCATAAAACAAAGAGCTAAATTTATGCCTAACGTGTCTAAAAAGATAAATGGCAGATGGCATTTTTGAGGACAGGAGTGGGAAACGGGAGACTTGATGTCGTTTGACCTCATTTATGGTGAGGCTGTATTTGTTCTCAAAGATGAAATAGAGGCTGGCGAGGCAAAGGTGCTTGCTTCCTGCCAGCCCTGAGTTCCAGCTACATGATGGAAGGAGAGGAATGGCTGTCCCGAGTTGTTCTCTAAGCTCCACATCTGCCCCATGACATGCCACCCACACACATGTACAAAAGCATACCCTAAAAATGACTAATTAAAAATCCATAAGAGATTGACTTAAAACACTAACCTCATATTATGGGTTAGATATGTGGCCAATAAGCATATGACCCAAACCCACAGATGTTCTAGAGGGAGGACCCAGTGGTTGCAGGCATTATGTGACACCTGTGTTCAGGATTCTTCCCAGGGGCACTAAAAGGACACCACGGGTGGCCTGACCTCTGACTCCCAGACCGTGTCTCCTGCCCCTACTCACCATGCCGTTGCCAGGGAACTCAGGGAACTTTTTGTATGTGTAGTACCAGAATTTTAGCCCAGGGCTCCGTATTTGCTAGGCAAATCCCTGAGATGATCTATATTTCTCAGCTCAGGGGACTTAGCCCCCATGTGGTCTTAGAGCTGAAAATTGAGCACAAGCCCTATAAGTCTTTCCCCTAAGATAAAGTGGGGGCTATTTGCCCCACCACTGGCTGGAGGAAGGGGGCAGGAGCTCTGAATGTGGACAACCAGAGCCCTGGGAAGTCCAGGCCTTCTGCCTGGAGCTTTTTCAACTGTCCTGGACACAGGACAAGAGAAGTGTATTAAGGTTGTTTACCTTGTTGCCTGGGGCTGAGAGGACCTAAGCAGAGGGACAGCTGAGGAGCCGGTGACTAAGCTCCCAGCGCTGGACATCCATCTCTAGGACACTTCACACTCTCTCGCCCACCTCCAACTGCCTCTCAGAAGGGACAGCTGTGCCTTCTCGGGTAGACCGGGGAGAGGAACTGCAACTAAAGAGGTTAGGCACGTGGCCCTGGCATCCATGTGGAAGATGACCCATGCTGGCAAGACCTCCGTGTGTGCTGAGGGGGAGGACGGTGGCGGTTGCTCACTTCTCACAGTCTGTACGAGTTCTGAGGTAAAACCTGCAAATTTTCCTCTTATTCCACTACTCTGAGGTACAGATTCCGTGTCTATCACAGCCCTAGGGCTACCTGGATGGCTGCCGTGGGCAAGGGAGGTGACTCGAGCTTTCTGCTACTCATCAAGACAAGGATTCCCCTTCCCTTCCTCTCTTCAAAGCTACAGTCTATGACAAATTTGGATTTGGACCCTGATTTTGTCACCAGCCCAGCTCCTTAGTGTCTGGATGGGCCATGTTTCCACATGCTGCCCTGCGGGTCTCACAGGACCAGCCTCCTGTCAGGTGGTGGTTACCATTCTAATCACCTGAGCCAGGCCCCACCATGTGGCATAAGGGTTTTGTTCAGTATGTACTTCCTGTGGACTGGAGCATCTTCCAGGTCTGGACTTGCCCCTACAGGCCCTGGCGTCTTCAGCGGCCAGGGCTGTATCCAGACCCAGGCTTCGTGCTCCTGCACTGCCTCTCACAGATATGCATACCAAGGGTAGCAATCAGGCCAGGCCATGTGACGGACTGCTCCCTTCCAACTCCAGCTGACCCGAGTGCTGGATAGCCCATGACTGCCTTTGACAGATTGCTGAGACTCAACGCAGCCTCTCCCCGCCTCCTTGCTTGCCCCCCCCCTCCACCCAGTAGCTTCCCTTTTAGCTTTCTGGAGTCCTACCTACTACATACTTTTTATTTATTTATTTATTTTAGACAGGGTCTCACATTATAGTCCAGGCTGGCCTAGAATCCATGGCTGCCCTCTCTTGCTGGGAATTCGGGTGTAAGCCCATCAGAACATCACCTTGGCATACCTTTTTGACGGCACACTGGAAGCCTGTCTGCTTGTCCTTCATTCTGTGGACCTCACCAAAGGATCCCCTGCCCAAACGCGGCTGCTGTGTCACCCAGTGGACCTCTTCTCGGTACTCATAGTCCACTGGTTTGAGTTTCTAGGGTTGAAAAGGAGGGGCTCAGTTTCACTGACTGGGATAGCTCCAGCTAGCAGCTCTTACTAGAGCTATGGAGGCTGAATGGCCACATCCAAAGACACTAGCAGCCCTAAGTACTGGGCCAAAACCTCTGAAACTAGCAGCCCAAGCAAACTTTTCAAGATGACTGTTTTAGGCATTTTGTCATGGTAACTCAATCCCCAATGAGCATATTGATTTATTAGCATGGTCGTGAGTGACTCTCCTATGAGGGAAACCCTCCCTCAGGGCCTGCTGGATTACAGTGACACTTAACTTCCACAGCAAGCCCAGCTCGGACCCCTATCTGTGGCCCCTCGTCTGGAAGGTGGTGGCTATTGGAGGTCTGTGTGCAGGACTTTAGGGGTCAGTTACCTCGGTAAGCAGGACGCCCTCGTTGTCCTCAGTTTCAGGGCTGAGCCTCTGAGGCTTGGAGCTCCCTGATGACCATGTCTTAGCCAGGCTGGCCAGGCTGCTGGCCTGGCCTGAGCTCACACTGCCTTGTAGTGCGTGCACGAGGTACTCTTCCACAGGACCCTTTTCCTGGGTGCTTCGAGATGGGTAGCTGGACTCCAGGTGTGGGCCGGGCAGGGGCTTCTGACCGTCTCCATAGGCCAGTTTGCTTAGGTGTGGGCCAGGGAGGGGCTGCTGGCCACTTACACCGGCTAGTTTGTCCAGGAAGAGGGCTTCCAGCGGGTAGGGTCTCCAGGGCTCCAGAGGGTGAAATGGGAAAGGGTGCGGCAGTCTGTTGTAGGGGAAAGGGTGAGTGGAGTGGGGTGGGGGGCCTACGGCCTGGGGGTGGTGGAGTTTCCACACGTGGTTCAGACATTGCAAAGGGCTGATCAGTTTGTGGAGCTCTGGTCTCGGCAGCAGTGGCCGCAGGCCTTCACCTTGTTTCTTACAGCACAGGTGGCCAAGGTCTGGTTCCTTCAGAGGCTTGGTGTACTGGGAGACATTTCTGGTATAGAGGGTGCCTAGTGGAGACTCGTCTTCCTGAAAAAAAACAAAAAAAACAAAAAAACAAAACAAAAAAAAACACAGGTGTCACAAGTCCCAGTCCAGATACCCATGAGCAGGGACCAGGACAATGGTGAGGGTCTCACCTGCACAGGGACCGTGCAGCTCTCTTGCTCAGGGGTTCGGGGCAGGGGCTTGGCTAAGGCCACTCCTGCCTGGGCCTTTGACTTCGACCTCCTCTTCTTACGTTTCTTCCGGGCTTTGCTGTGACGCTTCCCCTTCCGGCACACACGGGCCATTTTGCCTTCAGTTGCGTGGGCCACATTGTTGGGGATTTGGTCAAGACTCTCAGACTGGCTGTCAAAAAAGGGGCAGATCCACATTTTGAGTGCACGAAAGTGAGGAGAGGGAATGGTTCAGGGAACTGTCTGTGCAGTTCCAGAGACTCTGAGTGCAAACCCCAGCTCTGTCATTCCAGTCATGCATGCTTAATGACAGGGGACGCATGTGAGAAACGCGGTGTTAGGTGTGTATGTGTGAGCATCACGGATCCTAGCACAAACTTGGCCAGCTGTTTATTACTAGGTGTTATGGGCCTATGGGACCACTGATGACCAAAATGTCTCATGTGGCACCTCTGTACTTACATAGTGTGGGCAAGTTCCTAAGCCTCAAGGAATAGCAAGGTTTCTCACTTAGGAAATAAGAGTAGTATTTCCTGCCACATGGGGTGGGGATGGGATTTAAATGAGAACAGTTCCCAAGCCTTAGCGCCTGGCAGGCTCTCCATAAGTTTGTTGCCGTGGGCTGGAACAGACCCTCCAGGTGCCAGCTCCCTTGCTGCTCCTTGGATGAACTGTCCCAGAGAGGGCCATTCTTGGGGCAGGCATCTTAGCTCTGACAGGTCAGAGTGGCTTTGTTTCTATCATCTCTACTCTTAGCCCTGGGAGATACCTAGTTGCCATGGGAACACGAGAAGCTGCCAAATGGAAACTGGTGCAGCCACCAAGGATCTGCCAGGTTCCCACCCTGTCAGGTATTGAAGGAACTGGTTTCAGGAAAGAAACAAGTTTTGAAAGGGCACTGGTCACAGCCTCAGCCACAGCCCTTCTGCATTGATTTCTATCCCACAATGGGCTCCTAGAGATGGGAGCCTGCAAGCCTCTCTCAGACAGCCAAGAGAAGAGAGTTCATCAGAAACCCCATTCTCTGGGCCAAAAGGTGCCCGGGGCAACATAAGGAATTGCCTAAACCCTAAGGAGAACAGTAGCCTCCCTCCCTGAACTCTTGCTATCACTAGCAGTTTCCAAATGCCAATGATCAAAGTCCTGGTGGGAAGAGGGGCCTATGTCTGGGACAGACTCTGATGGAATCTCATCTTTGGAGAATGGAGAGCTTGGAGACAGACGAGCCTGGCCTAGCTCCCACCCAGGGCCACGGCTACAATAAGGCCCCTGGGGTGCCTCCCCTATAGGATGGTGGCAGTGGCTCCTCTGGACTGTGCTCATGTTGTTCATGGCCATTCACCACTGGAAGGTGCTGTTCCAGGCACCCCCCCCCCCCCGCTGATGGGAAAGCAGGGGTGTATCAAGGACCTGGAGGAGAATAAAAATAAAATGTCAACTTGACAGGAGCCAGGGGCAGCTTCTGCAAGTTGACTTGGCTGAGAGTAGCCGGGCTAGGAAAGCTGGGCGGCTGCCAGGAGCAGAACCCAGGTGCTGAAGCAAGGAGCCAGAGGCCTGGTGAGGGCAGCCTGGGCAGGCGGCCTCAGATCCCTCCTTCCCAGCTCTAGCAGCTTGCTTTCTTACCTGTACTGCTGTGACCCTGCGATGAAAATGCGCTCTGAAAAGGTGGGGCTGAACTCTTGGCTATTCTCACCTTTAATTCAAGGAAAAGGGGCCAGATTAGCAGGGAGAAGAGAACGAAGACACACTTAGCATTTAGGAGCGAGCCTTTTACACACAGGCCCTAATGGCCACTCTTCCTTTCCCTGTCATACTCCTCTGTCTGGTGTCTCGCTCCTGGTCACCGTCTTACCTCTCACTGGGGGTTACCCTGTCCACAGCTTACCAGTCTGTAAAATGGGGATCATAGGGAGCTTGCCTGCCTCACTTACAGTGAAGCTTCCTAGAAGCATTCCACACACCACAGGACACAGTTGTCACCTTAAACGATAGGCTGGTATGTCTATGTTTACACGTATGTGTTTATGTGTGCACTTATTTCATTTTCATTTTCTCATTTCTTCTCAAAATACAAAAAGTGGAAGGCTTGGGGAGATGAAGCAGAGGATGGATACATGGAGAGAAATGGTACCATGCCATGGACTATCAGGCTTTCCAGGTCCCAGCCCAAGAGATGGTGCTAAGGATAGCAGGGGACTCTGGTGCTTCCCAGCCCTCCTGGGAGTTCTCCTTTCCCAGACAGCCATCACTATCATCTCGAGGCTAAAGGAGTAGAAGTGGAAAGGGCCAGACTTGGCCTCGCCTGCTGAGGCTGGCTACCCAGAGACTGGCCCAGCAGGCTCAAGAGTAGGGTGCTTATTTTGGGGGCAGGGGGTGGGTGTGGGTGAAGCCATCCATGGCTGAAGGCAGAAAGGTATGTAGGCCAGAGGGGTTTCTTAGGAGACTTGGTCTTTCCTGTCTGGAAAGACAGGATGCTACTATTCAATGCCACAGCAAAAGGTTAAGGCCAGCTTGATGTTCCTGCAGAGCCCTTAAACATTCCTGCCTCTCAGTTGGTCCCCTGTTCAGGTCACAATGGCACCGTCTCTTTGCTCGGTCCCCCATGGTCCACCCTAGTGCTCTTACAGCTCCCACTTACATGTTCTGGGCTAGATCTCCAAATGTGTCTGGTGAGAATCTTACAGTGTGCTCACTCTGACCTCACTCTTCCATGGGGGACTTCAAGGCTGGCCTCCCATGCCCAGCCACCCATCCACAAGCTCATTCACTATCCACTGTGCTTAGCGCAGCCCGGGATCCTTACATTCAGCCTGAGCGATGATGGAGATGGCGGGCGGCCCACCCTCAGAACCTTCCTTGGCTGTGCCTTTGGTAATCACATCGTTCAGGATCTCCCATTTCCCACAGAACACGGCGCTCTTCTCCACAGCCTCGAGCTTGTAGGTGCAGCTCTGTTTCTTCCCTGGTGACTGTGTCTTGTCCTTGGCTTTGGCGAGCTCCTTCTGTTGCCCAACTGCTGAGCCAGGAGTGCCTGGGCAGGCCACTTCCATCACTGCCATCTCCTAGGCTTGTGCTCACCTTGAGGGGGTCAAACACACACCAGGTCATTCCAAGTCCCAGACCCCATGTAGACATTAGGCACAGGTTGGAGGGGAAATACATGTGTATGTGTGTGTGTGGGCAGACCGGAAGGTTCTTGACTCTTTATGTCAAGTGTATCTTCCTCCAAACACCTCGAGTAGTGATAAAGCCAACCTCACAACATTTACAAGCATTTCATTTGTGGGACGCCTGGTCTACTGGCACTGCAGTGTAAGTGGATTTCTCTGCTGGGCGTTCAGAGAGATGGGAGTCATCTTCCTCAGTGGTGTAGCCACTAGTAAACTGTCCATGCTTGGATAGATAAGCCTACATCCATGTTCATGCAAACGATCCTAGGTAATCTCAGTGCAGCCCAACCTGAGTACACACACATACACACACACACACACACACACACAGAGAGACAGAGACAGAGAGACAGAGACAGGGAGAGAAGCAAGTGAGGGGGGAGAGGAAACGAGAGAGAGATAAGAAGATAATGTGAGCTGAACAGATGGCTCAGCAGTTAGAGCACTTGCTACTCTTGCAGAGGACAAGGATTTGGTACCTAGCAAGCAATGGCAGCTCACATCATTTAAAACTACAGTTCCAGGGATCCAATGCCCTCTTCTGGTCTCCATGGCCACTGCATACATGTGTTGCACATATATGCATAAAGACTAAACATTCAATATACAAATATAATTACAATATACAAAATAATTTAAAATTTTAAATTATTATTATTATTGTTGTTTTATATATTATTTTGAGACAGGGTTTCTCTGTGTAGCCCTATCTGTCCTGGATCTTGATCTGTAGACAAGGCTGTCCTTGAACTCACAGAGATATGTCTGCCTCTGCCTTCTGAGTGCTGGGATTAAAGATGTGTGCCACCATCACTACTAGCCTAAAAATAATTGTTTTAAAAAGAAGGCAATGGTGTGAATATTATCAAAATACATTATACACATATACAAAATCATCAAAGAGCAAATAAAAATAAGTTTAAAGAAGAGTCCACCTTCCCCTGTAGACAGCTGTGACACGGAATTGGAGCTGGACTTTTCTTGCCTCTACAATAACTAAATCTCTTCCTGTTGTTTGGAAAACATTGTTCCCTCAGGACAGGGCAGTAAATCTTATCCTCTATTGCCATCGCCTCACAGACCCCAGGGACACCTGCCATCACACAGAGCTCTAGAGTGGCTTTTTCCAATGGATAAATCAAGGGTTGGTTTTGTGTACAGCAGGGACAGGTATATAAAGTCACATGCCACTTAGTGATGGGGATACTTTTTGAGAAATGTGTCTCCAGGAAATTTTAGCATTGTGTGAGTACCACAGAGTGTATTATGATATCATCACGGGGTGACAAAGTCTTCTGGAGCCAGCAGTACATGAGGTCTCATTGTGCTCAAAACACTGTCATGAAATTCATGGCTTTATACAAATGTGTGCATAATGTTACAAAGCTACTATTCAGCCTAAAAATGGGGCTCAACACTTGGCTCCTTTCCAATAATGCAACTGTTTGTGGTTCTCTAGAAGGTTCTGAAAAATGACTTCTTCCTCAAATGTCCAAACTCATTTGCTAAAAACTTCTAGGTAATTTTTTTTAAAAGTAGCATTTATACTGGGGACCTTATTACTAACTAGTGTCTGGGCACAGAGCATGAAATACCACTTCTCTCTGGGTTCCATGTAGACAACCCTCTACTTCCCAAGAGTGCAGCCATATGCTGTTGTCAACCATGCCCACAGAACAGGCATTAGAATCACCATGAGAGAAAACAGTGGTAGCTTGAGCTGCCAAGACCAGTTTCTCTGCATAGCCCTGTCTGTCCTGGAACTCACTCTACAGACCAGGCTGTCCTCAAACTCAAAATTCTGCCTCCAGAGTGCTGGGATTAAAAGCATGTGCCACCATACCCACTAGTATTGAAATCGTTTTCAAAGACAGGAGTGTTTTTGTTTTTGTGTAATGCTCGGGATTGAGCCCAGGACATCCAGCATGTCAGAAGTGTGTTCCACCAGTGAACTACACCTCAGTCAAGACAGGACTTTAGAAAAATGTATGTGGATGGGTGTTAGCACCTACATGTATGTCTGTGCACCACACATGTGCCTGGTGCCCTCAGAAGCCAGAAAAGGATGTGTGATCCCTTGGGATTGAATTTACAGACAGTTGTGAAGTCCCCATGTGGATGCTGGGATTCAAACCTGGTTCCTCCAGAAGAGCAACAGCTGCCCCTAACTACACTAAGCCATCTCTCCAGTCCAGAGACAGGGACTTACTAAAGGGCAGGGTGTGACTGGCTTCAAAGTCTGAGAAGGCACCACCTGCAGGCAGGTCTTTAATACTTGTTCTGGGCTGACAGGTCCCTGTCACTCACATATGTAGCCTTCCCCGCTGGCCGTAACACCATTAAATTCAACTCATACTTGCTCCTGGGGCAGACATGCAGACCAAATGAAGCCAGTGCTCTAAGACCCCTGCCCTTCTGCCCAGTCATGCCCAGAAGTTAGTGTTCTAGTGGAGAGCTGAGGAATACCAGCCTCACACCACCCTTCCACCCCAGTGGCTAGCTATGGCAGCCTTGCCACCCCAGCTGGGGCATGGGTTGGACTGTGTTCATTTGTTTTTGCATCTTGAGGGCAGGTTAGCCCTGAACGCAGCACAGCTCTAGCCCTAGCCCCCAGCAGGGATGCCTGGTTCTGGAGGCTGGGATGGACAATCTGTCACTTGGTCACTTTACGATGTCTATGGGGAGTTCTGACTTGCAGCTGGGTAAAAGCCTCCTGGCAGGCTTTTGTCATTTCCCTACACACCTCCCCAAATCCTTTGACCTTCCAAAAACTGACTCAAAGCCTACAATAGAGCCCAACGCTCTTAGCCCTATTTTTTTTCCCCATGGAAAATTCAATTTAAACATCAATTAGAAAACTCCCCAAATCTAACAGAAGTAGATATGAGCTTAAAGGGAACCCAGGGTTACTTCAGTCTCCTTATTTCCTTGTGAAAAACCTGAAGCCTACCCAAATGGATCCCTGTTCAGTCAGCCCCTGTGTGGCAAGCTGGGGCAGGATGCGAACCCAGACTGTCCAGGCTGGATGCACACTCCTCGAGTTTCCCACGTCACAGGCAGACATGAAAGAAGTTCATGGTCCTCTGTGGTCAGAGGGCTCCTAAGAGCAGAGAGGGACCCTGTGCATGGCTGCATCTTTGTACAGAAAACAAGACAAAAATCAGGATGACTCATGTTGGCTGAACGAGGACACCAAAGGACCCACACATCTGCAGACCTTCAGACAGGGTGGCCCTGAGCGTGAGCAATGAAGAGCTGGGCCAACGAATGGGAAGATGGTGGCCAAGTTGCACTCTGCTCAGATAGCCTGCCCACCCGGTGTTGAAAACCCACCGTGAGTTAGGGCACTCAGCCAAGCCAGGACCTTTCTTTCATCTAGGTGGCTAGCTGGGCAGCAGGCCAGGGGCCCTGTGGCCCCCACCCCCGTGCACACGCGGCGGGCGAACGCTCTCCCGGGGGAGAAGTTGAGGTTATGGCCTCCCGTGTACTCTCAGTGACTCATCCGCAGCCTAGCAGGCAGAGTGACAAGGAGGCCATTGAGAAGCTGACCCAGCAGATGGCATCTGGACCTGAGAATGGCACAGGGAACACAGGCTGACCCCCACCCTCCCGAAGGCAGCCAGTTAAAGCCAGCAGCATGGAAGCTTCTCCTACAGTTGGCTTTCCTGTGCCACATGACTGTGACTCAGCCCCTCACTGACAGCCTCCAGGCTCTCTGGCCTGAAGGCAGCTCTCCCACAAATATGGGCAAGCCTGCTTCCTCTCCTCCCCCACTTCCACGTGGGTCTGGTCCATAAAACTCAGTTCAGTATCGATGTCAGGGCTCTGGCTAGGTGTTCTTCCCAGCCCTAAGCTTTGGGTGCTGGCTCATCCCTACCCCCCCACCCCCAGGCCTGAAACTTGTCCTTTCTCTCTCTCCTGCAGTGCGTGGGGAATGGGGGCTAAAGGAGGTCAAGGTTCTACTTCATCACTCAACCCAACCCCCTCCTCAGCTCCACCTCAGCCTCCAATGCCTGCAGCCGCCTGCTCTCTTCACTGTATGTAAGCCAAGGATGACAGCAAAGGCAAGAAGAGCCACACCCAGGGCCCACACAGAGAGAAGACAGGGGTTCACTCAGCACTCTTTCAGGCCTGGTGCATATACCCGACCCAACCTGATTTCTTCTTGCCATGCCTCGATGGCGCTGCAGGCATCTCGGGGCAGGAGTGACTGGGGCTACCAGAACAACTCTAGGCTATGCTTGTAAGAGCAGTTCTTGGTTTGGACATAAGGATGTCCGGGAGTCACAGGAGCAAGATGTCGTTTGTATTTTTCCAGGGAAGGGGTCGTGGCGCTTGCCCTGTTGCCCATGTATACCATGGCCCAGGAGGTCCCAGTCTCCCAGGTCAGGGCCAGATTCCAGGCCTGAGTCTGCCTTTGCGCTCCTCCCCCAAAGAGCTCTCAGTGCAGGCGCATCCAACCTGAAAGTTTCGAACTCTGAAAGTTACAGTGCCAGATGACTTCTTAAAATGCACTCATCCTAGATACACTGACGAGTCACTGGGCATCAGGCCCAGAATATGCTTTTCTTTTAGTGCGGGAGTCCAAAATCAGGGCCTCACACATGCCAGACAAGTGTTCTACCACTGAGGTGCGTGACATCCCCAGAACTGTTAGAGAGAACATCTTCTGGGGCTGCCAAGCCTGAGAGCGTGAGTTTGATCCCTGGAGCCCGCAGAGTAGAGAAAGGAGCACCAAATGCCACAGGTTGCCTCCTGACCTCAGCTTGTGCGCCATGGTGTGTGCGCGCGCATAGCAAATGTTATAAAAGTAAGAAAAGAGATCATTTTAAGACAGCCAAGGGTCTTGAACCTGGTAGTCCAGTCCTCCTGTCTTAGCTTCCTGAGCAGCCACCAGGCACCATCCAT